TTGAGAGCCATGGCCGACAAGGTCGCATGTCCCCGCAGAGCGGTAGCCCAGCGGCGTCCTCACCCGTTCCCGTTCGTCTGGTTGTATTCAAGGCGACGGAGAAGGACTGTGTGGGACAGGACGGAGGGTTACAGGAATGTACCATCTGCATGGAAGAATACGAGGTTGGGCAGTCGCTGGTGCGGCTGGAGTGTCTGTGCAAATTCCACAAGCGATGCATTGTTGAATGGTTTGAGCGGAAGAAGGAGTGCCCGGTGCATAAAGTCTCCTGAACGAGCCTGATGTCTTCATGTTGGTGTTTTGTGACTTTATAGCGGGCCTCTTTTGTACTGTGCAAGCTTGGTTGCGGCTGGATTTCCGCCTTCTTGTCGGTCCGATGGTGGCTTTGTTTTTCTTTCCCCTGGTGAGGCAAATGTTCTTTCCAGCACTATTTCGCCGAGCCGGCGTCCTGGCCTTGTTGTCTGTTGTCTCGTTGTTTCTTTTACAGCTGTCAAGCAGCTTGGGGTTCTTGTGTTTGGTTGACGAGAGTGATGAGTTTCTCTCTGGTTGGTGTTCTTGATCTCCCCCTCATGTTTGATGCAATTAGTTCGGCGCGTGAGTTCTTGGCCATTTAGTTAGAGCGACTGCTGTTTCCCCCGGACATTGGACATTTACGAATGCTACACCTTTTACATACTCATTGATCAGAGAAGTGACCGATAAGAGTAACTAACTTATGGATCGAAAAGGGGGATGGGATGGCAGTTGGTGCACACGTAAGCAGCGATAGATAGGAATGGCAGCCTGAGAGTGTTGAGTCATCCACCCATCATTTCGAGCCTAGATAATTATGGGATATGCGTCAAAGAAGGAACTTAATCTCCCAGGGCGCTATTAATTGAAATGGATGATAATTTATAGTATTATTGGTATACAAATATCCCATGGTCTGGCAGCAGATTAGGAGAGAGACGTAGAAACAAGAAATCGCAGGCGACAGAAAGCCGCCCCTCCACTTGAGGCTCCTTCGCTCGTCTTTCGCGTCTCCGCGTTTTCTCTCTTTTCTGTTTTCATCTTCTTGTCATCTCCTTCTCCTCGCACAAGCTGTCGCATCAAACCCGGCAGTGAAGCACCATCTTCTTCGAACGTGGTTCCCGATATCTAATGCATCTTCATCCAGCATCTCCTGGAGGAACTCCTTTTTAAGGCTTGAACACGCACCCGCCTGAGGCCTCCACGGTCGGCTGTCGGTCACCGACCGTCCGGTTCTCCGACCTTCGCCCAACTGCAGCCTCCCAAGCGAGTCTGGCGTCGTGCCTTTCCACCTCCCCTCATCTTCTCCTCTCTCAAATTAAAAATGTAAGCTTGATGTTCATATCGGTCTCCTTACTATCCCTTCTAGGATTAACGCGCGCGCGCGGCCAAGCGATCGGAAATCCTTGCCGGTCGTGATATTGATCCGTTGGCCATGGCGACCATCATCCACCCGTCGTGCAACCCAGGCTGACGTGCCTTAAATCCAGTCCCCGCAAACCGATGGAGATCGATCCGCGTCTGCGTGCTGGCAGTGACAGCTCTCCTGCCGACGGCACCGCAGCCGGTCGTCCATATATCCCTCCCCCGGTCTCTTCCAGACATCCCGACCCCAATGCCGCCGGTCCCTCCACTCTTGCACGCCGCAGCGATTACCCCGAACCACCGTCCCCTTACTCTCCCGCTGACCACCTGCGATCCGCCGTCTCGTCTGCAAGTGGGCCCGGCTACTACGGCAGCGCCGCGCACTCCCAGTCGACGCCATCTATATACCGAAGCGGGCCTGAACCTGGCTCGGTGCCCAGCACGTCCTCTCAACTCGATCCCGTCGATCCGAACGATCCGTATGCCGAATTGCGACGTCCGCGCGCCTGCGAAGCATGCCGTCAACTTAAAGTCCGATGCGAGCCCGATCTCAGCCATCCCAATGGCACGTGTAAACGATGCGCCAAGGCCGGCCGGAACTGTATCGTGACCGTTCCCACGCGCAAGCGCCAGAAGAAGACCGACAGTCGTGTGGCGGAGCTCGAGAGGAAGATTGATGCCTTGACGGCGAGCTTGCAGGCCTCCCAGGGCCACGAACCGCACCCTCTTCCGCCGCCCGCCGCTCTTGAGCCGCCGCGCGAGGAGCATCCGGGAAGGCGCTGGCTTTCATCCACGGCGCATGCCTCTACTAATGGATCGATACCCTTGAGGTCACCTTCCAGCATGGCGGGGAGCAAGCGGCGGCACAGTGGGGAGATCAAAGAGCCTGCTCCAGTGTCTTCTCGCACTTCGAGCCCTAGCGACGACCAGTCATTGTACAATAAGGCTCTCAAACAATGGCGGGCCATGGGATACGGCTTGGAGGCACAACCTAAAGATTTGGCCAGCGAGGGCGGGGGTGATCTGATTGACAGAGGCGTCGTGAGTGAGACACTGGCTCAGGAGGCATTTACCAAATACGTCGATCGAATGGCCACCCTCATACCTATGGTGGTGTTCCCACCAGGCACAACAATGGATGAGGTGCGGCAGAAGAAGCCGGTGCTGTTTCACGCTATAGTTGCAGCCGCGATCGGTACTATTCAACCACACCTACAGCTATCGCTGCTGGATGAATTCTACAAAGTGGTTGCCGAACGAGTTATCGTGAAAGGTGAAAAGTCACTGGATCTAGTCCAGGCGATCCTAGTCTGCTGCAACTGGTACTCGCCCCCAGACAACTTTGAAGAGATCAAATTCTATCAGTTGTCAAACATTGCTGTCTCACTCGCAATGGATCTGGGTCTCAATCGAAAGGCGATCCCCAAGTCCAAGCCGTTCGCCCTAGTCAAGGAGCTTATCTCGAAGAAGTCATCTATCGTCGTAGACCTGGATTCAGCCGAGGCGAGACGAACCTGGCTTGCTTGTTATTTCGTCGCCGTGCAGTTCGTATCCCCTACTCATCATGCCAAATTGACCGCTAACAGCCATACAGGTGTGCCGTCTCTTTGAGACGCGTGAATCTAGTCCGATGGATGCCATATATGGATGAATGCGTGGAAATACTCGAAAAGTCTCCAGAGGCCTTACCATCCGACAAAGGCATGATCCAATGGGCAAAGCTAGCCCATATCCTCGAAGATATCGCCGTCCAGTTCACCAGCGACGACGCCCCTACCGTATCATCCTTCTCAGACCCAAAGTTCCTCTACACGCTCCGCGTTCTCGAAAGACAACTGGACCAATGGCGCCGAGAAACTCCACCAGAGCACTTTTCCCGTACGTCAAACCCCCCAATCCCAATTCCCCAGCTACCTACCTACCTACTAACCACACCCCCAGCCATCCTGAAACAAGCCGACTGCATCATCAACCTCTTCCTCCACGAGAACGCCATGCACGTAGAATTCCACCGAGACGATCCCAAAACCGCCAACGACGATCTTGCCAGCCCCACCAGCCCAGCTCACATCAACGCCCTCAGCACCTGCCTGACCTCCATCCACGACGCCATCGACACCCTCTGTTCCATCGAAACCAAGGACCTCGTCCTAACCCCGACAGTCGCTCTGGCCCGAACCTCCTTCGCCATCGTCGCCCTCATCAAGATCTACTCCATCGTCTCCAGCCCAGACACCCGCATGGCCCAAGTCATCGACCTCAGCAGCCTCAAGACAGAATACTACCTGGACAAGGTCATCCGTCATTACACCAAAGCCGGCGAAACCCCGGGCGGTCGCACCCCAGCTAAATTCAGCGTTGTCCTGAGTCTCCTCCGGAACTGGTTCATGAAACGCAAAGACCAGGGTCCTGTCCTCAAAGAAGCATTATCGCTGTACAAGTGCTCTGATGAAGAGCGACTTCAGGTACCTATCCTACATATCCATCCCTACACCAACACTCAACACTCACTAACCCATACCCAGCAACCCCCCCAACAAGACAAACAAAACCAGAGTCAAACCCAAGGCCAAACCCCCCTCCACCTCCTCAGCGAAGTCGCCATGGGCGATCCTCAATCCCGCTCTACCACCACCCCAACCACAACCAACAACCCATCCCCAACCCAAACCCAACCAACATCCAGTAATAGACCAATCTACACACCCAACACCACCACCGCCACCACAAGTACATACCCCGACCTCCTCACCCAACAATCCCCCTCATCATCATCTGACCTCCCCATCCCCCCTCATTCCCATTCCCACTCTCATTCTCACACTCACACCCACACCACCGACTCAACTACCGAACCACAACCACCCTCATCAACCTGGGTCCAACAATACCCCCCTCCACCCCGCCAATTCTACCCTACCTTCAGCCCCTCATACCAAGATGTCCAAGGATTCGGGACTGATCCGAGTAATGGGAGTAATGGGAATGGGATGGTGGTTAGTACTCCTGGTGCTGGTGCTGGTTCTGGTGCTGGTGCTGGTGCTGCTACTGGTAGTGCTAGTGCTAGTGGGGGAGGGGCAGGAGGAGGAAATCCGATACAAGGGTTGTTTGTTCCCGAGTTGGGGGTGCAGATGGGGTTTGATCCCGAGAATTTGTTCATGTTGGGGAATATGTTGGGTGATGAGATTCTGAATTTGCCGTTTCAGGCGGATGGGGGGATGGGGATGGGGATGGGGTTTTATTGATGTGTGATTTTGGATGTGGCTCTGTAGATGATCTGATTATGGGTGAGGTGGATTTGTTTATATATATGTTGATGATATCCCTACTCTTCTTGTTAATCTTCTATTTTTTTATTTATTTATTTATTTATTTTTTTTGATCGTGTGTATCTATACTATTGGAGTACAGTCCTGGGTATATTTATATACATAGGAAAAAGTCATAAAACTAAGCTAATACTTTTGTTTGTCCGATGGTCTGCTCGGATATATGTTCCTCGTGTCGTGCTCCAGAATCGAGGATCAAACTTCCATGCTGGTAAATTAACAAACCGTTCGCGTGCAGTACCCATCCAAGACGCTTATCACAAGTCAGTGGGTATAATCCTAAGACCCACTCACTCAGCACGCCACGGCGAATAAGCGAGGTAGAATCCCAACAGCCTCCTCCCCGGTCCCACACGTTATTGTGATAAAGTGCGAAAGGAGCCGACTCCATTCGGCCGAGGCTGCATTAGCGAGGAAACAGCTGTCTTGCGGGTCGGCGTGCCAGACTGCCAGCGTCTGCAAGCCGGCGTACTCCGGCACTGGCTGGACCTTTCCCCACTTGCTGATCATGATTCGTAGCGAGCATCGGACAAAGCAAGAAACAGCGGTCAAGTGTGGTAGACCTCTGGAGAATGGGTGGTGTTCAAGCACTGTCGGTTGCCAAAAAGTGAATGATCATCACGACGCGGTTGAGAAACAGCACAAAATGATCTGAGTCAGCTGATCAACAGCTTTTACCTGACGGTCAAGCGCCACTCTTGGGTTAGCTTCCGGACCATGTATGACCATGGCCAGCCATTCTCAGCTTCGGTCCTCCGAAGAAGATCCAGCAAGCATGTCTGCGCTAGAGGGTCACGAATCCAGGAGCCGCCTGGTGGATCAATCGATCAGTTAGTGGGTTTCCGTATCGAGCAGGTGGGCCACAGCCAGGGCAGAAATTATTACTTACAGGCGCACAGTGCGTGGCATGCCATGACGCGCAGAGATATCTCGTCATCAACAGACAGTGCAATTCCGAACAAAATGCTCAGACTCCGCGTCATGTTTCCCTGAACAGCACCAATTAGACTTTCCCTTGAAAGTTGCAGTATGTGGCAGCGTACCTCGGTCATCTGAATATCTTGTGGACTAGGCGTCGAATAAAGGGTCCTGAGTTCCTGTTGCAGGATCAAAGCTTTCGCCATACAGATATGTTGTACTGCGATCGCTAAATGGAACGTCAACGACCGATCACTGATACTCCCAAGGGTACATACCATGGAGTGACCTTGTAAACCAGACCACGGGAAAAGGCCTGCCAATTCTTGGGTCTGCAGCGGAGTAATGCAGTGGTCGAAAAATATCCGGCTTTTCCGAGTCCCAAGCATGGATCCTTCGTTTTAGGGTACTTCGACCCAGCACTTCCATTTCCAGCGATGCATGCACCCCATAGCAGTGATTGATCGTCTCTGCAAGAAGCCAAATGGCTCTATGCGCCCAATCTCGATCTTTCTGAGATGAGTCGTGCTGCCATAAGAGGTACAGTCTCTCCCCGAATGGACTCAGTGTCAACCGCAGTGGTTTCTGATATGCCAAGGCAAACTGGATATCTTGCATCACGAAAACCCAAAATGAAGCTTCTGCGAGTCCGCCTGATGTAGCACATCCGACCTGAGAACTTATATAGACTGAGCCGGCTAGTAGATGACGCTGAAGGTCGTTCGATGGGCTGTGAGCTGCTCAAAGTATTAGAAGGCTTTAATCGGTTTAGAGGGCTTTGCCAACGGGAACGCACAGGAAATTTGCTCGAAGAAGCGCAATATCACGGTAGAGGCAAGAAGGATATCAATACTGATCTCAATCTCTTTGTTTTCCAGAACAGGCAAGAGTATCCCGATACACCGCTCATGATATCCATCTGCGGTATTCGGGGGAATATTATGATTTGTATGGGAGAGATGACGGGCTGCTATAGCCAAACATGCGTAGAGTAGAAGGGGATTCGTAGGTGCCCGTTCCACCACATCCAAAGAGAAATGTCTCTCATGATCGCAAACATCCAACTAGAAAGCGACGATTAGCCTTAATCCAACCGTATCGTGATCGAAGAATGGGGTAAAGCACCCATGGGCCGAGCGTTTTTCGGAAGTGCCGAAGGAGGAACGCCTCATTGAAACTTGCGACTTTCTGTCGATCGCGGAGCTCATCAAATGCGAAAGGTAGATTGACTGGGTCCAGGCGCTGTGGCGGAAAGGCTGTGGTGGGAGTGGTGTCACTCGGGGACAGTACAGGCTGGAGGGCATGCGACGATGTGGGAGTTGCCACAGAAGCTAGAGATCGACGCTTGACTGCGTCTTTCCGAGGTGCTGGTGGAGGATTCACGGGGAGAACATGATAGTCGGCCGCTGTACGATCTGTCTCGTCCTCGAAGGAGACTACGGAGCCGTCATCAGTGCAAGTCTCAAACCTTCGTTCTTGCAGAGGTACCAACCCTGCGCAGGCATCCCAACCCATATCTGATCGGGAGGAAACGCGAGGTCGCTTTCTCCGTAACGGGGAGGGCCCTTTGGACGTAGCGACGGATTTTGCCCGTGTCGGAAAGTGACCTCTTCCGTCTTCGTCGGAGCCGGGATACACTGTCGTCCCGATCGCTGGCATCGCAAGCACGAGGACCCCGTCTTGTCACCTAGAATATCACGGTTAGAGGCGCTGAACTGGAAAGCCGGCCATGCACGTCCGATAAACCGGGTTTCTGCAGGGGAGAATGAATTACATTTGAGATGGCGTTGACGGCAGGTGAGACTGAACGTAAACGGTTGCATTAGCTTGGTCGAAAAGCAGCGGCCGCATGCCGCCCAAATGGCATCCCAACAGACTGGGCTAGGAAAGAAAGAAAAGAAACAAGATTCGCACCAGGGGCCGCCAGAACTTACCACCCCCTCATCACGTTGTTGTCAGGTCGGTCCTCGACAGGCAGTCGCAACAGTAGCCATGGAGGGGCAGAGGCATCAACGGCAGGAAGCAGCCATTGATGTGCGAAAGATAAAGAGGAAGAGGCAGGAGAAAGGGGAGCCAGGCCGAGTCGATGTTGGACTACTCCGCTGCAGCTAAAAGCGACCGCCTCAGCAACGGTGATTAGGATGGGCAGAACAATGTTCAACGGTTAAATGCCCAATGGAGGATGGTTCATGCGGAGTGGAGCGCCGGCGTGATGGCCATGGAGCCCCCAGGGCAAATAAGGATTGGAGGGGCGAGAAAAAGGGAAAAAGAACCCTATACAAAAACAAGAACGGCTCGAGTCGATCTCTTCCTTAGCGTGAACACCAGACCCGACCTTTTTTTGCCAGTCGCTCCAGGTTTCAGCCTTTCAGGGGCCCAAACCGAACCCAAAACATGGCCGGCAAAACGGTTCCCCATCACACCCGAGAAATAAGCCAGCGCGCCCGTTTTTAATTTCCCTGGATACAATATGGAGGGAGTCTAGCCAGTGTTCGGGAAATGATGCCGCTGATTCAATTGTCGCTACTTTTTCTCTCCGACGAAGCGCATGGTGATGGACACATACGCCCGCCTCTGATCACTGCCCGAAGCAGAAAATCCTCACGAGCTAAATGGGAAGTCCACCAGCGCCGGAACGTTTCGGTTCAAGCTAGCCTAGCGAGGAAAGCAATGGACACTTTTTATTGCACCTTTCGTCAGGAGCTCCATCCAATTCTCAGCTACCAGCAACTATGTTCTTGGAGCTTTGGGGGAGGAAAAAAAAGTCTGCAATGTGACGGACTTTTAGGGTGTCAGCCGTGCATGGCCCCGGTGGGTTCCAGCTCCCAACAACCAGCCACAGTGTCCTAAGTATTGATCATCCTAGCCAGCTTGTGGGTTGTTAGTGAGCATCTCGGATACATCGCTACTGTCCTGTAATGACCATTCGACAGAGGCTTACTGCTTAGTCCCCCTACCCCTGCCACTCGACGGGTCTAGATTGTGACTGCCGGTACCATTGGCAAGGGAACATGAGGCCCCCTGTTGAACCTATCTGTTGCTCACGCAGATCCTGGGCCTGTGTCCGTTGACTTTCCCCTTCGGCATTGCTGCTCTCCGGCGAATGGATTTGTTCGCATCACCAAGGTGAGGGGTGTGCCGCAGCTCCAGCCTCCGGATGGTCCGTGAACACTGTTTCTCCGCTTGTATCTAGTGTGGTATGGTGGCCACTGCCAATCAGAAGGGCCGGAATATTTTCAGGACAGAGTTACTAGGGCGGGAAAAGCAAACGACAGCGCATCAGTCGAGTTGAGAGGCGTTCCGTGACTTGTCAGCCAATCGAACCAGTGGCCTGTCTGCGCAGGAAGCATTGCAATTGCCCATTGCATTGTATGATGACTGAAAGATCTAGATGCACTAGTCTCCTGATGAAGAACCTCTCTCTGGTAGCACCACCGATCCAGTGGTGCTAAGAGAACCCCGTAGTATGATGGTTTCTGGGATCCCGTGAGCACCCAGCACACGAATATGCCGCTACTTAGATCCGAAGGAGGAGGTTCAGACCAATGACATGGGGTAGTCATACAACCTTTGGCGCAGCTGCAGCCTTCAGGGAGACTGCGGAGGGTCTAAAGGGTTGGGGGGCTTGTAGATCATAAAGCTACGTGAGCCAATTGACATCTGATAAGCTTTCCAGACCATTATATATTCGGACACAAATCGGTCGGGGGAAAGTCAAAAGTAGGAAGGAGTAGTAATTTAGCAGTAAGGGAAAACTGGAGACAACGATGATCAGAGATGATAAGATGAGCAGGGGAACAGGAAGCCAAAGGGCAATAAAGTTTTCCATCCATCGCTCAAAATTGGGGACGAGAAGTAGAGACAAACAAACGAGAGAAAATGGAAGGAATGGAGGCGTGACCGAAAACAGCAGGCGCGGGGAAAGCAGCAGTCAGGTGATTGCTGGCAGCACATCGCCGCTTCTTCTTTGGGCGACGCAGCACAGAAATCCCGGATCGGCGATGCATTCAATCACCGTCCGACGTTGACTCTTTCTGTGCGCCCAGATGCAATTGATCCTCCACTGCAGCAAGGGATCCTCGTTCCACGCTTTATCTGCCCTATCTACTACCCCATTCCACGTTTGAAGCTTCTCCGCCCCTCCTTTTTTTGATCGACGGGCCGAAAACGGGTCGGACTCCACAGCCAACCAGACATCGTCATAGCTTGTCCCTCGCGAATACCACGCATATCTGCTACTGTATACATATCACACTATATATATCTGGTCGCTCGACGGACCAGAATCACGGGGTAGGGGGATTGTCCGAGGTAATCCATCCGAAAAAAAGCAAATCCCGGTCTCTAGCCATGTCTAACCTCCCATTGCACACAGTAGAGAAATGTCTCTCAATCGCATCTCTTTCCTGGAGTCTTGGGAACAGAACCCTGCTGCATTCCGCCGTCAGCCGAGACCAGAGGACTCGGACGATGAAGATAGATATCATGACCTCCCGGAGCCTTCATTATCGTCATCCTTTCAATCAAACATTAGTAGTCGTCCCCCCTTCCGAGATCGCCTGAACTTTAATCCTTATGCTGGACCCGGTTGGAACGAGACCTTCGTGGATGAGCCCGATAGACCCTACCGAGGTGCATCACCCAGACGCCTTCGGGCTGATGAAGCTGAACCTTTGGAGCAACCACAAGAGGATGACACTCTGAGGCCACAGCAACCTGCGGGCTTAGAAACTACGGGAGCCTTTGAGGTTAGCCGCTCGAAACGAATCTGTAAGTTGTTTATCTCACCACTGAGACAATGCACACTCTGACCTTCCAAAGTGCAGGTATGTATCGCAGTTGTATACTGCTTGTTCTCTGCAGGCGTAGTCTTTGGCTTCGCGGCAATCAAACCCATCTTCGTTAAAGAAGGAGTCTATCGCAACCTGTGCTCAAAGGACGAGCTCGATAGCGGCTCAGATGTATGCTATCGACAGGACATCCGGTGCGTCGTCTCACATACCGATCTGTATCGGCACATAAGAGCTAACAGACTACTTCCAGGCTAAACTTAATGTTTACGGTAGCCGCCGTTGCAACAAATGTGTCAGCCTTGCCCGTAGGTGCCATATTAGACACCCATGGCCCCCGCGTGTGTGGCATCATCGGCAGTATCTGTTTGACCGTGGGCAGTCTTCTACTCGGACTTGCACCCAAACTATCCTTTGATGCTTATTTACCAGGATACCTCTTTTTATCCCTCGGGGGCCCCTTCATCTTCGTCCCATCATATCAACTGTCGAACACCTTCCCGACCCACTCTGGTCTGATCTTATCCACCCTCACGGGTGCTTTCGACGCTTCCAGCGCACTTTTTCTCGTGTTTCGGCTATTAAACGAGAAGACTGATGGCGCTTTCACCACATCGCGGTTCTTCACTATCTATCTCATTGTACCGATCTTCATCTTGACCGCTCAGCTAACGGTCATGCCCACTACCTCCTACAAGACGGCAGGAGAACTTGTCCAGCACGCGGAAGCCCAAATCGTAGCGGAGGCAACTGACCGCGTGGACGAAGCTATTGATGACCGTAACGAAGGGGAACGGCAGCGCAACGACCGCCGTCTTCAGCGGCAGACTGTTATCAATCAAATAGAGGACTTGCTACATGCCCCTGCGCCCGAGCAGGACCATCAGTCACAACTAGAAGTAGAGCAGACTGCGACTATCTCTCACACTGCTGGCGGTGTCTGGGGTGCCCTTCATGGCCGCTCAGCCTTGCAGCAAATTCGCACCCCATGGTTCGTGCTCATCACACTCTTCACCGTCCTCCAAATGCTTCGAATCAACTACTTCGTCGCCACCATTCGTCAACAATACACCTATCTTCTAGACTCGTCCGAGCGTGCCAAAGCGTTGAATTCTACTTTCGACGTTTTACTCCCTCTCGGCGGCCTGATCTCCGTCCCCTTCACTGGTGCCATCCTCGACAACGCTAGGACCCCAGTTGTGCTTGGTATCCTCGTTATCACAGCCACGGTCATTGGCCTCCTCGGCTGCATCCCCAGCATCCTCGCCGGCTACGCCAATATCATTCTCTTCGTCATATACCGGCCGTTCTACTATACGTCTGTCTCTGACTACTCTTCCAAGGTCTTCGGCTTCCAAACCTTCGGCAAGGTGTACGGCCTCATCATCTGTCTTGCGGGATTAGGAAACTTCGCTCAGACAGGCCTCGACACACTTGTCTTCCGCGTCTTCGACCGCAATCCCATTCCCGTCAACGCGATGCTTACAGGAATAACCTTCCCCGTTGGCCTAGCTTTGGTCGCATACGTCTCATGGCAGACTAAGAAGTTAGCCGCCGCCAAGTTAGCCCAAGAAGAAGCCGCAAATGGAGCCAACGCTGAGAGTGGACTCGTGGCTGGCCATGATGACCGGGTGAATGCTCGGGACTGGTATGCGGATGAGACGACACCGCTGCTAGGTAATAGTATCCGGGGCCGTCGGAGTTCCTTTGCAGTTGGGGGCCCGTCTTCTTAACAAGCCTTGCCGGTTAAGAAGGCTTATCGCTCGATTGGGTTCATATACCCTGGCGGTTCTACTTCATGCCTATACATTCCTTCCCCTGTAGATAGACACATAGATAGTTACAGCAGCTGATTGGATTATCATTGTTTGGAAGGGTTGGGATGATATATTTACCTAGGGCATAAACCAGCAGTCTTGTCTCTCTCTATCTCTTCCTTTCTCATTTCATATCAGTTATTGTTCAATCCACCCCACCCCACTCCAGATCGACACGACACGACACGACCATTCATGAAAAGAATAGAATAAAATAAAATAAAATGATAATATCACTTCATTAACTAGTATCATACTTATATTCCCTTCCTTCCTTCCTCAATTTCTCTTCCTCCCAAACACCTGTATATACTCGTAGTTACACCAAGCAAGTGACGATCTAATGTACTGACTGCACTCTGGATGAAACACACACACATAACCCGCACAACGCACACACGGAAAAAAAAACAAACAATAACCACCACCAACAAGCTGGTACAGGTATCCGTTATCCCTGCAACACATCCCATCCTATCCCATCCTACCTCACTGCTTCTTCTGCTTCTTCTGCTTCTGCTTCGCTGCTGCTTCGTAACCTCGTAACTCATACTTATCTACCGCACACTTCCTTCCGAGCGGGGTATAATAATAGTAATAACAACAATAAAAGATTAAAAATATAGAAATAAGAGAATTGGAAAATAAGAAAACGAGTAGACCATTTAAGTGGGGGTAATTGATGGAATGTAAAAGGGGGAACATGAACTAGAATGGCATGGATGATGGAGTGCAAGTGGGAGAGAAAGAGAGAGGGTATAGGATAATTCACTCCATTCGAACCATGGCTAGTTTCACCTCCGCCCAGAGATCACTACCCGGTCGGTCACAGGCACGATCAGACCAGACCATTAGACCGAGGAGTTTGCGGGCATCGACCCAGGATCTGATGCCGTGGCTGGCGGCGGCTTGGCTGAGGACGTGGACGAACCAGGCTCGTTCGGGCCGGTCGTCTGCGGCGATGCCGCCGAGGACGAGGACCCAGAAGAGGGCAATGCGGGCTTGTGGGTGGCTCCAGGTGGAGGCGAGGTCGGAGATTTGTAGGACGTTTTGGATGAGCTTGGCGAGTTGGCCGAGGGGAGTGCTTTGGTAGGGGAGGGGGAAGACGACGCCGACGCCGTAGATGAGGGCCGCGAGTCGGCAGGCCTCGTAGATGATTTCGTGTGGCTTGTAGGCGGAAAACCCGTCGAGTTGGCTGGCTGCGGGGAGGGACAGGAGGGTGTATTGGGTGAGGTTGCGTTGGTCGGAAATAAGGGAGTAGTCGGGGTTGACAAGGTGGGCTTTGATGTGCTCTTCGACGAGTCTCATGTAGATATGCATGGCGTATAGGACTTCTACTAGTTCGGCGGTGAGGCCGATGTCTCGAAGGGGAGCGTATCGGCGCTCTACATCGACGGTTGTGAAGCCCAGCATTCTCTGCAGGGTGAAGTTTCGCCGCTCGTGGAAGAGGGGAATGAAGGTGAATACGGGTGGCATGAGGAAGGTGCTGCAGGTCACAATGTCGGAGCTAAAATTGAAGAAGTATTGTTAGTTGTGATGAAAAGTGAGAATCCCGGGGAAGATAAGACATACAAGGACAGGGTTGCAGCGAGCCCAGGGAGGGTCAGGTTCTCGATACCTCCCCGTAACCGCACCATCTGCACTAAACCTTTGATATGGACCAGGTTCGGCGGAAGGGCCCCATAGACGTCTAGCCACTGCAAGCGTGGTAGCGGCGGATCGAACGGCGGAGTCCGATGAATGCCCCGTCCATGATCTTCGGCGACATTATGTGCCATGCAGATGACAGCGAGAATTACTGAATCGCACACCGCTCGACTGGGATTGCTGACTTCCCGCGTGACGTTCTGAATGGTTTCCAGTTCACACCATTGCAAAATCCGCTGCTCTTCTGGCAGGAAGGATTCCCGTGCAATCCAGCCATTGAGCCACCGAAGGCGCTTGTGAGATAGAGAACCGAACACGAAGGCGGTGAATAAGGTACGATCTTGTAAAGCGAGAGGTAACCAGCTGGTGCTGGATGGTCGCGTCTCCTGACCGGGAGAGACGGGGGTTAGGCCGGGCCACAGGACATAGAGACCTACGGATACCATATGTTAGCGCTCTGGAATAAGAATGTAATAAAGGAACAGAGATGGGCACGAACAGTATTCTTCTGTAGCCGCAATTTCCGTTCTTGCCAGATCCATTGGGTTCGTATGAAACGGATCGACGGCGACGCAACCAAAGCTCTCAATAAAATCCATCGATGTAGCCGACGAGGGAGCCGGTGCGCTGAACGAATCAGAAGTCGTAGTCCTCTTCATAGGTTCGCTTTGATCATAGGGTGTTTCATCGAGAGTCTGGTGCTGGAACTGCCAGACGGTCTCGGGGGATAACTCCAGTTCTTCCGGATCAAACTGGAACTGCGACTCGCCTGCCACCCCCTGCGCCGAGGACGGACAGTCGGCATATCCATATTCTGGAGAAGGCGTGGAAAGATCCGATGAAGTACGGCGAATGGGTGTCCCAGAGGGAGGGGTGTGTTGTGAGGGGAAGGTCAGGGGAAGGGCGGAAGGCGTTAGAGCAGCGGGGGACGGAGAGCCGTTCGGAGGCGTCAACAAATGGAGGCCTGGACCGGGCGGAACTGCACCCTGTGGCGGAGACTGACTGGTGGCATCTGGGGACGAGGAGGACGACTGGGATTGATTGCTGTCGGGCGATTCTGGGCCGGACGAACGATCTTTGGTCTGGTCGGAAATCCATTTGCCCACATGGGCGCGGACCAGCCGCTGGATTTTGATCCGCTCCGTCTCAGATGCTGGGCGCGCATTGACGAAGTGAATGGCGTCCTTCTTCCGCCCGGCAGCGACACCTTTAGTAGACGCCATGAGGGCTTTGTTTTCTTCTTTTTCTGCTTCGCTTTCTTCCACCGCTAAGGGTCATTGCCGATCAAGAGCACAGGATGCGACGAGGACGGTTGAGCACGGTAGACGCCCAGGGTAGCATTCTGTTCCGGCGAGGCGAGGAGGATGCAGTGGACGAAGCGAGACGAGATTGAAGCGAAGGAGGGAGGTTGTTTAGGCGCACCAGGGGACGAGGATGGTGGTGAAGATAGCAGGGGTAGTAGTGGACGTAGTGGTTGTAGTCAAGGCGAAGGCGGCGGCGGCGGCGGCGGCGGAGGCTTGATTGGGCCGCATCAATGAGGGACGGACAAGACGCGAGACGAGGGAAGAATCATCGGACCGACGTTTGGCGCTAATCTTTAGGCTAAATAGGAATTGAACGCAGGGGAGTACTTGAGCGATATTCCGGGGAGGGAAAGGAGGAGGGGGAGGGACAAGAAAGAGGAAGAAGAAGAAGGGGGCGAGAATGGATGACGGAAGGATGGGGGAAATTGGGTGAGCGGATAAAATTGGGGGAGGGGAAGAAGAAAATCCGAGAGAACAAAAGGCAGAAGAGAGAGAGAGAGAGAGAGAGAGAGAGAGAGAGAAGCGAAAAGCCAGAGCAGGAAAAAAGGACGAGGGAAAAGCGGCGCGGATCGTCGCTGAAGAGAGCCAAAAAAGCAAAATCCCCAACCATTGAGAGCGTCCAAGCGATTAATTCGTGCCTGTCAAAAAACTAAACCATCTTGACTGAACTTAGATCCGTGTCTAGTTCAGCGACTAACATTCGCACTATCTACTAATTGCTCTAGTTAGTTAGTTAGTTAGTTAGTTATGCTTGCTCTCCGATCGATCCATCCTCTGCAGTGGTCCCTCCTCCTCCTCCTCCACACCACCTTACCACCTCCAGTGAGCGTAAGAAGTGCTACCTATCTCTCTCTGTCTCCTTTTTTGTTATTTTTCATTAATCCCTTCGTAATCATATCATCTTTTCTTTTCCCTCCAAACACCACCACCACCCTCTCTTCCTCTCCCCCGTTCCACACTCACTCACTCAATTAACTCACTAACTCATCGCTCACCCCGACACCTTAAAATCCCCTACCCTCTCTCTCTGACAAGCACAATCCATGGATCCCAGCCAGCCAACCAACCAACCACCGGTCAATGCGGGGAAATTCCCAAGGTTGACCGCAAAAGTATATCCTCTTTTCTTTTGCCCACACTATCGGACCCATCCGCTGCAAGCTCGGCCTGACAGGTCACTCCCACAACTAACAGTCACTCCTTTTCTTTCGTTCTTTCTTTTTCATTTCTCCCCTTATCAGTACTACTATTTTATTTCTCTTCTAGGTTCTGCGCTTTTCTCTAGATATCCGAAGCAGCAGCAGCAGCAGCTTAAACCCAGCATTGACCGACCCATTTTACTGATGATCACTTGCTCCGAGATCAGCGTTCTAGACATGACAGATCAAAAGCAGCAGCAAACACTCAAAGATTGTCTAGACTAAGTACAGTACCTCTCTCATGCAGAGCAAAATAAACATGCTTAACTGTACTAACAGAATATTATGCTCTGAGCCGGTCACAGACAAGGGCCGGGCCCCAAGTCCTTACTTACTTAGCTCAGCTTGTTGCAACGCCATCCCATTTAAGGTTAATGCGGCGATGGTGCCTTCGCCCCTGGAGAATTTGGGGGGATTTATTTGGGTTGGGGATGGGTGGCGTCCCAGGATTAACCTACTCTCTCTGCCTTGCTCATCACATGAACAATGGGCCACACTCCCCCCGAATGACGTACCTCAGACCATGACTCGGCGACTTATAACCTAAATCTCTATCCTCTTATCCTTTCCTTCATCAGTAACCGATGGGCTAGATGTGATCGGCCGCTGCTCTCTCCAGACCCCATCCCCCTGCTTCTTCCCCGGTGACCTGGGCTGGTCCATGGTTCGGCCCGGATCTCGATGCAGAGGATAATAGTTTTTGTCTACCCTACCCACTTCCAGTTATATAGACTTTACTTTAAAAAAATAGACGTAATAATATACTTCGTCCATTCATCCCTCCCATTTGGAAAAAAATTCTGGGGAATAAATCTAGTCAAGCTCAATCAATGGGTATTTTCCTCCTTCCCCAGTCACCGGGTCCTGATACTGCTCCAAGGCCTCCTCAACTGCCGCCATGTATCCCAGCACCTTTTCTTCCTGCCATCTGCGTCCCACCACCTGCACCGCGGTAGGCAATCCCGCCATCTTCGCCGCGTCGTAGTGCTTCCAGGCACCGTAGGCCACCGCGTTGCTGGCTCCCAGCTGTTTCAGCACCTTCTTGTATGGCCCTGACAGGGCATCCTTCTTCGCGTCCACGTGCGAGACAGGCAGGACACCGGCCGTGTAGTCCAGCAGGTTCCAGAGGAACGTGTAGCCGCATGAAGATACAGCATCGTGCATGGCTTTGTGGGGCAGAGCCGGCGTCGCATTGACGGGGCAGAGGATGAAATCGTACTGCTGCGTCTCGGCGTCCCACCAGCTGTGCCAGGTCGCCCGGAAAGCTTCCCGCTGGGCAGTGAGCTTCCAAAGCTCCGCCGCAGACTTGGGGCCAAATCCGCGGATCAGCGTCGCCCACTTCTCATCCCGTCGGATGTACCGAACCCAAAGATAGTAGAGATAACGTAGAGGACGGGGCAGATTGCAAATCCGTGTCAGCTGATCCGCACCAGGGTCGGATGGCTCAAAGCTGTGCAGATGCGAGTTGAAAGTGACGCACCCGTCAGAGTTGAGCAGCTGCGAGGCGAGGGAGAGACCGGTAAAAGTGTCAGCCGCAGCCGGGGGTGTGATCTCAGACACAGTATGTCCAGCGGCGGTGAGGGCGGCTACTGTGGTGGAAACAGCACGTGCAATGGCCGGCGTTGGGGGAACAACACCTGCATGTGGTCAGTAACGTCCAGCAGCATCCTTTACGTCTCCACTCTTGAAACTTACCGTCATTGCTCATGAGGCCGATCCTCAGCTTTTTGTTTTGCGCTTCGCTTTCCTCATCTTCTCTCCAGGAGATAGGGTGAACGGTATGGTCGTAGTTCCAAGGCTTCATTCCGACAATAGCTTTAGTGAAATAGGTGAGATCGTTCAAAGTACGGGCCATCGGGCTGAAGACACTGGCAACACCTTCCTGGCCAGCCATGCTGGTGTTGACTCCAACCTTGGGCCAACGGCCAGTACTACAGCGGAGGGAGTAGATGCCGCTCCAGGCCGCGGGAACGCGAACCGAGCCAGCGACATCAGACCCGATACCGATGCGACCACCAAGAGCCAGCAGAGCACCTTCACCACCCGTCGAGCCTCCAGGGGAGTATTCAGGGACGTGTGGATTAAGGCAATGACCCCAGAGAGCGTTTGCTGATTCGAACGACAGAAGCGTCACGGGCAGTGCCGTTTTCGCATATGGGACGGCGCCTGAGGGGGTTCATTATTAGCGAAGGTATACTTTTTGTGACGTTCCGTAGTTTAGGCCACGTACCAGCATCCTTTAACAGCTTTGCCATTGGTCCATCCTCCTTATACGGTTTACACGCAAACTTGGTATAGCCAAGAGTAATATCGAAGCCCTTGATTTGCACCGAATCTTTCAGAGAGATGGGCACACCCGCCAGGGGACCCTTGAGGTTTACTTCGGACTGGGCCCATGATTCTGCCTCAGGCAATAGAAGCTCAGTCACGCAATTTGTCTTCTCGTGAGCCTTGACTGCAACCTTGCCGTATGTGCGCAGGACATCTAAAGGTGCCAGGGAGTCATTCTGGACCTCATACACCAAATCCTGGATAGGCTTGTTGATGATAGCTCTGTCGATAGCCGAGAAGGGCGCATGGTAGTCTGGCAATAGCGATGCAAATCGAGCCGCCCGCTCCCTCCTCTTGAGGTCCCTGTAAATGATCAGTGAGCCGTCGGCCGAGTTGCACGTGGGTTATGTAGGACTGCTTGGGTTGCTGCGTGGAGGCATCGGGGTAACCTACCGGATGCGACGGTACGTAAAGTAATCGAAGGGGGGAAGCATCGTGTGTCACCTCCTTAGGAGTCTATGCAGAAGCCCAAGGGGGAGGACAGAGAGAGATAGAAAGGAGGAGAGCAAGGTTCCGCGCAGAAAAAGAGATCCGTCACAACGCAGGGGGACGCCTTCCTTTTATTGCGGGGGAAGCACCACACGTGCGGAGAAGTCCGATAAGCTAGACCCGCTGATAAGCGCTCTCTGTCCAAGCTGACTTGTTCGCTTCCGGTACGGCGCCCACTGAGCTGTTCGAGCTTCCAATGCATCACGATAAGCTATGACAGTCATGTCTAGATACACCTGGCACCTGTTCGTTACTCACGCTGTTAACTTAGGCCTGTCGCATTTCACTGAGGATAGTTATTCAATGCAAGAGCTTCCTGGATGACAATGCCAGATACAACACGTGACTGATACAGAAGCGGCTGCTGGCGCTTGTGTTGCCGCATTCGGCAGGTCCATGCGGATAACAAGCTTCCTAGTATCATTCAAGTAATAAACGAAGACTAGACTGCTCCTACACAAACTTCTTATCTCCTAGTCTCGTCTAGTCATCTGGTACTCGACACTTGTCATTAGTCTAGTAAGCGATCCGCTTGTCTCGCTCAATAAGTTCAAGGCGGATCAGTCGGCTCCCAACACTGCCGAAGGTTGATGGTTTAACAATGTGCTAAGATATTCTGTGCCTCAGGGTGTCCACTCGTTTCATTATTTGGGACCATAGCAAGGACCACCCAGCGTCTTTTAAGAAGATTCGAGTCAACGTGAAGTCCATCATGTTTGATCATTATAAACTCAGCCGCGCCTAGTAGATGCCGGAATGTCCGCGAGCATATGCCGGGTATTCTTCTCCGAAAGCCAACCTTGAACGCCGTATGATGAGACTAATTTTACAGATGAGACCTGCTCGTCCATATCCAGTCCAGATGTCGTATTCACAGAATCCCCTGTCTTTCCACATTTCCGCTTCCCCAACCTCGATTTCCAAAATCTCCGCCTTTCACTTTCAGCTGAGATGGTATGAGATGGCCCCAGCACAGTTTCCTTGGGAGAATCGAACCTTCAGTAACGTTGAAGGACTCGTACTTCCGCCTTCTATTGATGATATCGCGACCAATGTTGCATTCAAACACCACTGAGCCACAGGGTATTCGTTGTTGATTTGTATGGGCCAATGAAGTTAACACTTTTGTCTCACATCGGCACTGCTTCTGTTTCAGGCTTGAGCCAGTTCTTCGATTTCAGCCACAAGATGACGACAACAATGGCCGCAACAATTATCGCTACTATGAGAAAGATCAAGATGCCACAGATGAAAGTCCGCCTTCTTTTCTGGCGTTGGGCCTCAATCCAATGATCTCTGCCCATTTTTCATTGATAATTAGCCAGGTGAACTATAATGTCACACGAGGGACCCTGACATACGTCCAGATGGTAGGTTTCTTTGGTCCTGTTTCCGTCTTTGCTTCTTCGTCGAGGTGCATAGCGGCAGAGAAGCGTTTCCAGAACGCCGGGTCCCGGACAAGTGCCATGATCACGCTGCGCCACTAGTTGCCAGACATGGGGTGCCGCAATTCACTGGTTTCAGAATAAATAAGGTGTCCGTGCCGTCGATTGAAGGGCCGTACGATGGCTCAGCCTGGAGCTTGAAGGCGTCAAGGATAGTAAATTTGAAAGATAACAACAAAGCTACGTTGACACAGTCAACCAAAATATGAGCGGTAACGTACGCTTTCGCTTACGGCTGGAGCGCCAGCGAAAGAGAGTGAAGTAGAGATTGAATCAGTCTAACAATTGAAGGCTTCACAAAATGGACTAGTTGTGACCTCCCGAACGACCATAGAACGAGAGACGTCAACAGGGAGCGCAAACGCGGGTATAACAGGGATTAAGAAAAATAACAAAAGCTCAAGCGAGGATGGATCAGGGAAGATCGAGGGCATTATTGCTGAATACCAGCAGCATCGGATGCTGGACTCGTTGCAATGCTGCCGTAGAGGTGCGTGAATTCCAAACAGCTCGGCGGGAATGACGGGCCCGGGCCAGGGTCGGCGCGGAATCTGGATCGGCAGCACGCCGCCCAATCACAACCACCGGAATCTGACAGGTCTGGTCCTGCACCCAATAAAACGAGCATCTTCGGCCCACGGTTCGATTGATTAAGGTACGTGGTCATGCCGGTCGGCTTGGTCTGGTCAGGCACGAGCAACAAGCATGGCGACCCGGTATTTCGATGCCTATCAACAAACAATTCTCCCAAAGGCCAACCGCGTCGCAGCAGTCTTCCCAGGCTAGGCCAACGAGGCCAAAGTATGTCCCTCAATATTAAAGGTTGTCCCGGTACTTTGAGAGAATGCTGTAAATTATTCCCCGAATTTCTCCAAACCTTGTTCTTACTCACATTCTTCGACTGTCCGACTCGCAAATGTTCTGCGATCTGATCCGGCTCTTCAGGTATTGATTCAAGACGCCTTTCATGAAGAAACTCCAGGGCCGAAGCACAAGATTACAGGCGTGGACGGATACTTCGACTTGTGCCTATTCACTACCTCCAATTTCGTGTCTGAACACTGGGGACCATGAACTGGTTTGGTAAGCCATACTTATCAAGGACATTTCGGGATAGCAATAAAGTACACTTACAGCATCTATGTTTGAATTATCTTGGAGCTCATGCGACATCCTCATGTGCATGCATGATTTGACTCACATAGGCCATGTGCACAGAGTATACACACATACTGGCAAGCGCGGCCAGGAGAGAAAACGCCCCACCCACCATTAGCCAAGCCAAAGGCTTGTCTCCTGTCTATTAATAGGTTCTGCAATGGGAATCAAGAGTCGAGTAAGGGGACAAGGAGTTTCCACATTACCTTGTCTGTCCTTCGTGGGGTTGCTGTGAGGGACGAGTGGCTGGCAGCTATGTTGATTCCATTGGCTGGAACTCATTTATCAGAATTGAGCTTACTCACTGCGAAACTAGTTGGGCCACCTGGAATTAAATATCCTAACCCTTGTTTCACGGGTGCCTTACTCCCGTACGGCATAGGCAGGCATCAGCTCGAATCGGTGTTTCAGCAAGAACTGTGTTCATCATGGAGGGTGAAAGAAGCTGGATCTACTGGATCGCCCCCTATGCACTCACACTCATCCTTGCTACAGTACGTACTGATGCATGTAATTGTGCTCCGCTTCATTGCAGTTATCACGACGAGATCTTTCACCACATCTGGTTGTTTGGGAGAAGATATCAGTAGCCTTGACGCCTGACTCCCTTTAAAGATAACCAGGTATTGCCACCAAACACGTTGACAGATCTCGCGGAAACATATAGAGAGTATTCTTACTCTTCTGTTTATCATAACATGTAAATGCGATATACAGCATGGTAATCGGCTCGTACTGAAAGGACATTCGCGTGTGGGAAGACCTAGCTTCTGAGAGACTCGAGGTATTACTCGGGGTGGCTGGCGGAGACCATCATCCGAAGATGAGCCCTGGTGATAGTGGAAGTAATTCCAGCGGCTTGTGGCGCGGGCCTCGCCTACGATCCAGCCGGACCTGGCACCAGCGGAGCCTGCGCAACGAGCAGGTGGCGCAGGAGCTGGTCTTTGCTCCATAAGGCTCGGCTGCCCGGACCATACCCTTTGGGAAGAGATGTCTTTGGTGGCATCGTTGCATACGTGCATGCTTCTCCTCAGTCATTTCAGAGAGAAGATAGAGTTCTCTTCGTGGGTTTGAGACAAGAGGATACAGCCAAACTTACGCACATGCCATAAGTCATATTTTTCAGCAGTCCTCGGCAGTCTTCCTGTAGAACTACCAAAGATAACCCGAGACGGGATTATTGGAGGATGGGAGCATATGCCTTCGCCCATTAGCGTTTGTTGATCAGCTCAAATGAGGGTTGGGTCGTGTCATATCATTCCAATGTGGGCTCGAAATTGTGGTCACGAATGATGCTAATCTAGATCATGTACCTCATCCGAGGCCAACAGGTGAAAATGGGTATGGAGCTCTGTCGCTTGGATCAAGCCAGCTGTATTAGGGATAGGGGGTCATCAGAATGTAACGAAGCCAGTAGATCAAGTCCATCTGGAATCTGTAGTCAAAGAGCAGTAAGAGATAGTCTCTCTCTCTCAAAGGGGGGCAACCCTTCCAACCCAACCCATCATCAGGTGATTCCCACAATGGCGAGTGACACTTTTGGGCGGAGGAGGGCAGACCGGAAGTCAGACCTTCAAAACCTTCAGGTACCCAAAAGCGGCCTCGTGCAGGGCCCCATTTGGCTTTCTGTCGCATACAGCGCCAGCATGGTCCGACGCCAATAACACGAAGGGGAGCAGATGAGGCGGATTGAGTTGGCGTGTTGACGGTGCCAGCAAACGAGTTGACATCCTTTGGGCTCCCCCGCAGTGGAGCCTGTGCTGGATGGGTGCCTGACCGCCAGGCCGAAGCCTTGCGCTTGACAGGCCACTAACCGCCCGCGATCACGCGTCTTCACTATGCCTTGAATGGCATGAAGAGCTGCTGCGGCACAAGGTGCAGGTGCAGGTGCAGGTGCAGTGCTGCACCTCACCAAAACTAACAACCACATTCCCAGCCTCGTTCTTCAATCCACCTTCTTCAACCTCCTTCTGTCCCCCCATTCTCCCCCCCCCAATTGATGTCCCCGCTGCCCTCACTGCCCGTCTAATGCCTCTACACCGGGCCCCATTCTAGCTCGGCCATGTTTTCCGCCCATGATCATCAGGGCCCGAGTTACTGGGGAGGGTTGATCAATGCCGATAAGAGTCCGGCCCCGCTGCTGGAACAGCTGTGCCTGGAAATTGCCCGCATCATCGTAAGTCGCGAATGGGGGGAGCTTCTCCTGAGTTGCTGCGCAATATGAATCCAAGCTTATCTCCCATTGTTCGCGTGCGAAGACATCCTTCGACGACTACGCTACCGCCGACCTCACTCCAGAACGACTGGCTGCTTTTTATCGCAAGGTGGGCGGCAACTACGACGTCCTCTTTCTCCAGACCAAACCGTCCGCGCTTTCCTTCATCTACCAACGCCTGGGATGCTTTCATAGTATTCAGCCTACCTCCGATCCTTATAAACCCCCCGCCATTCCAGCTCTTCAGCCGAATGGCTTTGTGCGATGGCAGACCATTCAGCTCCTTCTCGATCCGGACGAGCATTGCCGGTACCTTCAGAATGCGGTCGAATTGTGGGATATTGAAACTCCAAGTGGGGAGTTCTTTCCCAAACAAATTCCGCGGGAAGCCTTCCCAGACAGACCAGACCCGGAAATGGTAGAATGGCACGAGTCGGTTAGTCGACGCTTCGAACTCGATTACATTAAGAGAAACATCTTGCGTGCATCTCCACCGAGCTTTGGCACCTACCATTCTCACTTCTCCAACAAAGACATACCACTCACCAGGGAAGAGACCAGCTTCCCTCCACGGCGTCGGTCGTCAACCCATCGCCCTCACCTAGTCCCAGAGGAACCTTCCCCTCCCAGTAGGCACCAGAGGCGTCGCAGCGGCGAGTACCCACCACCAGCCACCCGTCGGGTTCGGTCAACATACTTCCCCCGTGCACCAGACGTTGAGGCGCCTCGCCGAGCTCCTTCACCTCCCATGTGGACCAAGTCTGTTCCCGAACCAAGAGGTCGTGATCGCACTCCGGCGTATTCCCGGCCTGTCAGTCCAAATACATTGCCTGGGAACAGTGCATCCGATGCGTCATCCGAAGATTCTGGAGGTGCAGTACGCCGCGCGTCTCCCAGCGCTAATCGACACCATCGTCATCTGCGTCCAGACACTCCGCACCATTCTCACGCTCGCCGCCATTCGCATGAATCCTACGCCAGAAGACCCGAACGGGCAATCTCCCCGGATGATCAGCGACGATACATGCACCGGGACATGTACAATGCCAGCTCGGCCAGACCCTACGACTCCGATGGTCCCCGTCGAGCACGCTCATCGAGAATATATGCCGAGGAGCCGGTCCGCCCTCCCCGTACTCCAAGGCCAACATTCCGCGACCACGTGTTTAGCGATCCCGCAGCTGTCCCCGTCAATCATGAAGTGCCGGTATACACGCACGTGCACCCTCGATACATGAACAGGAATGGCAGCTATCCAGTCCGACCGCCTCCCCCACCCGACGTCGACATGCGTGCGGGCGATGACGGCCGACGGAGTTACAGAGGACCTCACGTCAACCCCAACGCCTCTGGTTTCAGTAACTCGGCAACTCCGGAGCGTTCCCGCTACCCCTCAGGCGGATATCGGCCTCAGAGATGGGCCAATCCGGTACAGCCATCGCCAGCCCGAGGAATCCCCGTAGGAATGCCAGACATGGAATATCCTCCGAGAAGCCGACGGTCCACCATGTACGACCGGTGAACAATCCCAACAACCTTTTCTTTACATCTGTCAACAAGAATGATCACTCCTACTCAGAATCACACCTCTAAGCACGACAACAAAGAATATTACCCACCTAATGAATACACGTTCCCCCAGACTACAGTACTACTACGCTACAAAGACTAGATAATGACACCGCGCAGAGCCATTATTGACGACAGCAAGAACGAAGCGGGGTATGGAATACATGAATGACCGGCGTTTTACTTGCTTGGGCGGTTTCCTGAATGGCCAATACCCCACATTTGATGATAATGCTACGTGCTACGATATGATATGATATGATGAACTGACGGACCTGATGGCGGTCGGCTATGTTACGATTAACGACGATACGAGTATTTTTAGAGAGTTAGACGGAGTTCTGCTGTTTCTTTCGCGGTCTCTCACTATTCTCTCTGTTGTTTTATTCTACCTTATTTGATTCCATGGGTCATCTTTTCTCTTTTACCTCGGTAGTATACACTACTTACTATATGACGAATATCAGATAATTCAGATTGTTTCCCTTTACCAAAGAGGGGTCTTAATATGTTACTAGTGGTTGTTTGATTGGTAAGTATATAATTATGGCCGATGTTGTCATTAACCATAGCATAGTATTTGGGAGCGTAAGATGTGGATTGCGAGAAAGGAAACTTTGCATTTCGCTCCCGCTTAATCATCCTAGAACTGAGTATATTTCTACCGTTCCTGCTCATTGAGGCAATGCAATGAATTTTAGCAATGTTAGGCTCTTTCAGATTACTACTATATTAGATTTACATTCATTTTCCTCGACTCCAGCATGATGCTTCTACCGCTACATGCATAGTAGTTACTAACTTCCGCTTCCGTACATGAGAATATATATCCGTATCCAGTATAGTCTTCACCCCACACACTCAAACAGTAAGATTAGCCCTCTGAAAGCTAAACCCAAAGTCCTCAAACACAGCACACTTCTCCGTAACACCGGGATTCTTCACAACCGACGGCGGCATATCGAGAACACTCACATTTCGCTCCGCGACCTCATACTCAGGCATGTAGTATCCACGAGGACCAAAGATCTGGTACGTCGAAGCATAGGCAGGCCCACGAAGCTTCAGCATCTCCAAATCGGGGTTGGGATTACGGGTGCGGAAGAAAGAACCGAAGACGTCGTTCATGAGACGGGAATGCAGGATGTCTCGCTTGTTGTAGTATGGGGATACGTTCTTTGTCTTGCTGTTGAGAGTGCCCCAGGCGGGCAGCACATCTGCGGAGTGGCACGTGGCATTGAAATCGGTGTTGGGGGAGCAGATGCTGGGGACATCTACGGTGGTTTGGACGTGGCCGTGTCGGACTTCGACTTCCCAGAGGTGTGGGAATGCGTGGCGGCCGCCGTGGCGGAGGAGGTAGGCTTGTGGGCAGCTCCATTCGCTGTGGGTGAGGGCGTCGGCGACGGTGTTTCGGACGCTGTCGGGGTCTGAGGCGTTTAGGGGGAAGGCGTTGGTGGCTATGAGGGATTTGATGAGGGAGGTGGGGTAGGCGTAGCTGTAGACGAGCTCGAGAGCAGCTTCGCTTGCCCCCAGGTTTGGGACGTATTGATCGACGTAGAGGGCGGCCTCGGTGGTGACGGTTGTGAACATGGTGGGGACGCGGTTGGGCAGCCTGTTCGAGGCGAGAAGACGGTAGAATTGGTCGTCGATGATGCCGCTGCCGGTGTCGTCTACTATGGGCATCAGGGGCTCGATTGATGCGAGGATCTCGGATGAATGTAGCCAGTCGCTGGCGATGGTCTCGGTGGAGGCTGTCATGGCGGCTTCGAACTCGGTTGTGTTGTCCAGGTACCGGGTTGCTGGAACCGATCTCAGACAGGAGATGAGGGCGGATTCCGATGTGGTGCCATTGCAGCCGACAGCCCCGGCGATGTTGGGGGTGACAATCTTGGTATACACCTCACGTGTGAACCAGGGAAGGTCTACGGGGGCGGACTGCACAATGGCACCGGAGAATAGGCCATGGGCTGCAGTCGAAGAGAGTAGCGCAATGACACTCTGGCCTCCGGCGGATTGGCCAAAGATTGTGACATGGTTTGGATCTCCACCAAATGCTTCGATGTACTTGTTGACCCACTTCAAGGCGAGGATTTGGTCGCGTGTGCCGTAATTGCCCGTGGTGAGGTTGCCCGTGGTTAGCCACCCTAGAGCACCGACTCGGTAGTTGACTGTCACAACAACGACGTCGTTACGGCTAGCGAAATTTCCTCCATCGTAGTCGACCATGGACGCGGTTCCACTAGTGAACGCACCACCGTAAAAGTATACCGCGACAGGCTTGCGGGTGGACTTTCTGTCGTGTGAAGAGGGCAGGATAGGAGAATAGACGTTCAGGTATAGACAGTCCTCCGAGATACCGCCGTTGTCGAGTGTACCGAAGCCCGAAACTGATTGGATGCACGAGTCCGCCAGTTCAGTCGCGTCAATCTTCTTGGGACCTGAGTAAGGGCGTGGGGGTGCGAATCGCAGGTCCCTGACTGGCGGGTCTGCGAAGGGAATGCCTAGGAATCGAAACGAGCGCCCATCACGATAGCCAGTCATATGGTAGTCATCGAATGAGATAGAGATCTTTGACTTGTTCACGGCTTCCCTGTCCTTGTCGGTAGTAGGAGGCACGCTGGAGGTGCAAAGGGCAGGCAGTTGTCGATTACATGGAGCGGAAATAACCTGCCTACGGCTTTGAGAGTATGCCTGGCAACCATCTGGTGAGCCTTTGGCTACCCAAAAGGAGCTATTCGCCTCCACATTCTTCGTGTAAGCCAGGTAGTCGAGCTGGTACCCTATCTCTGTGGCGTTGGCTTGGGATACATCCTGTAGCGGATAGAGGGCTTCGCCAATGGATGCACACCGAGATTCTGCACTGAGGTATGGCAGTCGGTCGTAGATTAAGACTGCGGCGGTGCCATTGTTTCCTGGGCCCAAGTTGTTATACTTCAGAGCTTGAAGGGTACCCAGAGAATCAATGCTGGGATGGGATCTTGCATCTGCTAGCGGAGCTGGGGCCGCCAAAGCAGAACCAAAGAGAAGCAAAGAGCCCACGATAAACTGAAGCTGCATTGTCACAGACTTTGGCTACCCAGTGCACGGAAGAACAAACCACCAGGAAAGGCAGCAACCGTTTTAAAAACCTTCATCGCTGCCAAGAGAGGTGGCCGAGAAATCTGGGCTTGGGGTCATCAGTTATTCGGGATGGCCGGAAGAACAATCCTTTGAGTCAGTCGAGCGACAGAAACTGCCATGGATGGAGCATACACAGCCAAATCGGTACTGGCGGAAGCTGGGGTGCATTGATCCTAGAACTGCGGAAGCTGGGGCATCGGTTGTTCCTGAGAGAAGATTCCATTTATCTAGCCGAGGCAGCCAATATGAATGGCTCTCTCGGCAAACATCCACCGGAACCTGCTTCCTTGGCACGCGGCTGCCAACGGTTGATCATTGATCAACGATGATTACCAGAGGTGTGGAGGCAGTAGAAATCAAGGATCGTATGAGTCTAAATGGAAAAAAAGAACGAAGAAGCTCCCTCACCGGAGCAATCAGCCAGGCTGCCGATTTTCGCCTTTGCACCCTCACAGATCCGGCTTAGGGCTCCCTGAACGCCCTAGCCCTATGTTCTGGCGTGCAGCTGATGACAACGACTCGGATGCGTGATTAAAATGACGTGCCACCCATTTACCATGTTATTGTTCGAAACATACCATCATAAGTGTCATGAATATCTGTGGTTATCGGAAATATTGTTCTGTAAAGTGCATAATGGTTGTGATATTTTTGTAAGATCTTCTGGGCTAGTATGGCTCCTTCGCGTTGTATAGTAGCGGCGGTCCATGTACTGGCGCCGGTATTTGACGCGCAAAGTACATCGAACTTCTTGATGAATTGTTCTGCTATAGCGCTTTGGTAGGATTTGTATGACTTGGACACCTAACCAATTCAAAGTTGTTAGCTCGCCAGGTTTATGTGTTCCGAGGTTATTGAAAGCCTTCACTTTGTGCTGCCAACCGTAGGTGTAAGTGCATATACACAAGCGTGTCTTTGAAATGCATTGGTCCATTTCGTAGCGACCACACGGCCAATTCAAGCAATACTGCCTTTGCAAAGGCTTCCAAGCGACAGGAAGCCAAAGTGTTTACAAGTATGGAGAGGACTAGAGTAGTGTTATAGATTAGGTTGTTTTGCTACCGAGAAACATGAGTTGTAGGGAAACACCAATCAGTCCAGTGTAACCGTCCATGTGACATACCAGACAGACTAATAGCCTCGAGAATGAGAGTATCCAAAAGAGAGCGTGGCTTTCAATAAGCAGGAAAATCATACGGGGAGGTAAGATTGTAGCCTCAGATGATAAACGTAAGGTGCATGTGCAGCTGGCTAGGTGTATGAAGAAGTAGAATAAAAGATAAGAGTAAGAGTTTACGCACATTCACAAGCCAGAGTCAAAATAGATGCGGGAATAAAAAACGTTGGATTTCTTCATTAAAGAGAACAGGTGCAGGTTCATACTTACCGTGAAGTAACTTCGCTAGAACTAATAGAGATAATGTGTGCTTTTTGCTTAGACTCTACAGGGCAGAGGCAAAAAGGGGACTACAATAGGCTTCGGTATACATGAAAAAGTTGTCAACAAAAATGTAGCGCACTGGATTCACTTCACTGACTAGTAAGAATTCATGGGGGAGAGTGACTCACGGAAAGAACTGGTAAGAATCGGTGGTCGGGGGACCAGCTAGTCTGCAGAGGTGAACTGTTTGTTAGTTTCAGTAAAGTAGGAAAGATTTACGAAGATGGATAGTGGGATATGAATATCATCTATAGAAAGTAAGAAACAGTATGGTAAGAGCCTCATGGGGTGCGGATGCGGGAAGACATGATATAGACCAGAAAGGGAAGGACCCGAATAGCTTCACCACCACCACCAGCATCCCACCACACCCACCAATTCACGCCCCCCAAGGGAAACCAGGCCGCCAGAATCAATACCTGGGCAAATAGGCCACCCAAATTACCTTTTTCAGAAAGAAAAAGGGATTCATCAAGGGCTTCAATTTGTTCAGTACGCTCCTTGCAAATAATATCACTCCATGGCAAATATGCTTCTTCTGCTAACATTTTGCGTCAGAGCACCAGACAGTACCTTTTGGTTGGAAACGGATCTCACATGTCCTTACGGTAAGGGGCGTGATTGGTGGTCTGTTTCCAGGGTCTTAGAGCCAGAACCAAGGAATGTTGATGAGCAAGCCTATCCTCATCTGGCTATTCATCTCATTGATACGAAGGAAGCTCGGGAAGACTCCATACTCTTCTCTGAATTCAGTGCATTAGTTTTTGCTATGCGAGGCCGCGCAAACCAGCGCAAGGTAGATTCAGAGACAGAGAAGTGGAGGCTTATGGAAAACGATGGTGAAGGGACAGAAGAATATCCATATCTCTTTCCTAATGAAGAGTACTTTCCTGTACTTCTCTTCTCTTTTGTCCTTCCTCAACACGCAAGAATCCTTACTGCATGCATAGTCCAAGAAAAGCTGGTCATTAGACAGTCGAAACTGTACAGCTTTGAATGGAAGAAGAGCGCGCCGATTGATTTTTTTCTTCGCCTTTACCTGAGCCGTCCTTTGGAGACCCGGGGGTGAGTACGACTATGTCCTCCACCGCACTTTCCCCACGCGTTTTTCCTTATGCAGTTTCTGCGTTTACTTGTGTAACGACAACAATCTACTACAAAGCACTCAATACTTCATGCTTTTTAAATTTTATTTCCCCCCCCCCCTTATACAAATGTCAAATACTTGGATTTTCTTTTCTATGCAAAGTAGCATTCATTCTTATCACTATCGTAATTGCCCCTTTGGTTGCTTATATTATGCCTTTTACATGCCCCAAAAACAAAGCTGAGTGGACAGCAGCGGCTAAGACATACAATGTCATCGGCAAGAAATTATTGACCTGGCCTGATCTGCGCTCAGGATCCAAAGTGAACAAGGAGCAGTACCTATTGTATCGTGTTCTGCTGCCCGACTGCAAGGTGCCAGAGTCTCTAAATCCTTTACGTCTTGGGATCCCTACGATTCTCATCACCCAAGCACAGAATGTGCTATATAGAAGACAAACATATCAACTATATTGACAACTGGACTGATCCAGTATTGGGAACATATGGACCAGTGAGATTGCAGTCGGAGTCTTACAATGGATTGTAAAAGGACTAGAAAATGATAATGCCAGACGAAGACACAGTAGTCCCTGTCTTTCTGGGACTTCTCTACTCCCTGACCTCCATAATTCTCGGAACCAACAGTCATTCTGCTTTGTGGGGTCAATTCCTTGTGTAATTTGTTCCTCTCTTGCCCAGCAGTCCAAGTCTGAACCTGCAACTGCTCTGGAAATAGATTAGATCCAGCTTCTTTGGTCTGTATAGTAGGTGGCAGGAATTCCAAGCATTGTTTTATTACTGCAGATATGGCCGAGATTAATATCTGTTATACTAGTCTTTTTCGTTTTACGTCTGATTTATTAGCCGTCACCAGCATCTTCTATCTAAGCATCAGATCAAACGACAGTAATGAATGTATGTCCGAATTATTCGTCAATAACTGAATGAAAGCATTCAACAATAGACAAGAGACATGGAAAAATACAACCCCCAACGGTGAATTGTAAATGTTTGCCTGAATCAGGCAGAAACCCTCGAATAATCAAACCATGATCCTGGTAGTGTAGAGTCTTTTCGCATCTTTTCCAGCATCTTTCTTTCAAACGTCTTTAGCCGCGCAACTAAGTAGGGGACATGTGTATCTATACAACAAAGCAAAAAGCTCACCTGCATCTATGGGTTGCCAACCCATAGGAGGCTACGAAAACCGCTTAGTGCGGTTTTTGCAGACGATTTCCAGCATGACGATGGCACGTTCTTGAGCCTACGTGCTACGTGTCAAGGGCCAGCTCGCCCATGCCCGGAATCGTACCCAGGACTCCCGAGTGTCTCTGGTTCTACACGGCCTAAAGGACAGGCAGAACTACGGGCCCGGCTTTAAGCCACTCGGTTACCCTGGGTTTGGTTACGGTTTATTTCCCAGAACTTCCCTTGTCATTGCCTCACGGGTCGCACGATCATGGATAAGGCTAGCTATCTGACTACAGCGGAATTTGGGCGACAGTTTGCCGATGAACTGATCAATGTTCGCAAATCCGCGTATCTCAGGATAGGATTTCCGTAATTGAGTTGACTCCATAGGACGAAAAAAGACCGGAGGAAAGATTGTAGAACAAGTCTGGGGATTGTCCAACTGCTCAAAGTCAAACCGAATTACATGTTCAACACACTTAAGATTGTGGATATTCACATGACCATCGGTAGGCACATATCCTCTAAGTTCCATGACTTTGTCAAACAGATTGTCGAGACCACGGCGAACCCTCGAGACAGTTGACAGCATCGACAACGATCTTTGAGACATCGCGTATGTCTTGTGTTGGTGTGTGCCTGATCTGGTATACCCGAGAAAAATATTGTGGCCTTGTATCCTGGGACAGGTAAATAAGTGGATCATGCAAGATTGAGGGGCGTGTAAGTGCTTTCTTTTCTGTGTGATGTGAGTTTGTCTCCGTCAGCGATGGTATCACGTGGACAGCTCTTTGTGTAATGGAAATTGTCCAACAGGAGCCACGAGGTGTCTTATTTAACTGTCAGCATCGAGAGTATAGCCCCCATACTATTTATTCAGAAGATCACTATAGTTGATCTAATCAGTAAAGCGAAGAGTTTGTCCGGCATTTCCCGCCTAGCAGAGGCAGTAGTGGAAATGACTTTGTGGTAGCAGATAGTATTCCATGGGCAGAACTGAGCAGTAGTGGAGAGCACCTTTTCATGCTAGATGGACCTAAAGCAATTCCCGTGGTTAACTAGTCATATGAATTTAAATAGATTAGAGGATGTAGTAGAAAGAAGAAAAGGAAGGAATGTTCCTGAAGGTTTCTATCCTTTCCTTTCTGGGGTTCCAGTTACTATCATCTGAGATAATCACTCGCTGTCCAGATAAATAACAGCCGGCTCAAGAGTAGTAACTAAGTACCACCTGGAGTTTGACCAGGAAGTGGCTCACATGAATGGTAGGAAAACACCGTGTTTGTCATCAAGTGGTATATTTTTTGTCCGCAACATTAGGGAGAGATATTTAGGTAAAATGTATGCCTACAGTAGGCGTATCTTCCACATCTTATTGGATACTACATACCCATTCTATGGCATCTCCCACATACTTAGCAGATCAAACCTCGCCGAAAAACGCCGTGCAACTCTTGAAATTGATAAACAGCGAACATGGGAGAGAAGATAAATCGGGGTCTCGGGGTATTGATACCCCGCAAGAATCTGGACCAATCATCGTTTCAGGAAGAGGATATGACCTCTTCTCCGTAATTGACTAATCTCCAATTCCTTTCATCTGCCTCAAACACACGATATGCAATCTAAGCAACTAGACTGAACTAAAGTCAACAGCTAGATAAATCGGCTAGCTATCAAGCTAGTCAGTCGGTGAATCAGCAGCAAAAACAATGTCATCCTCATCCATCAACCCGGACGACATCAATCTGCTAGCGCAATTTCTAGCCCACGAACAAATCCCAGCATCATCCCACCCCCCAATCGACACCGACTGCATCGTGATATGTGTTTCGGCAGTGCTTTATCCCGCAGAAGCCGTCTTCAAACACCTAGAGCGCAACCCCCAATTAACTAAAACACTCGTTTTATGCGGTGGAATCGGCCACTCCACGCCTCATCTCTACGAGGCCGTATCGAGGCACCCAGACTACGCACACCTCGTCCCAGAAATCACAGGCAAGCCGGAATCTCACGTCCTGCATACCATCTTCACGCGTTGCTTTGATGCCACTTTTATTCAAAAATCCGGCTGCACGGTTCTACTAGAAGATAAGTCCACGAATTGCGGACAGAATGCCTTAGAAACACGGGCATTATTGGCAAGGAACGGTATCCCGGAACCTAAATCTATGATTGTTGTGCAGGATCCGACCATGGCTCGGCGGACGGTTGCCTCATTTGAAAAGGCGTATGCGCCGAGGCCTCCGAAGTTGCTCAGCTGGCCGATAATAGTGCCTCGAGTTAAGCTTGAGGAGGGTGAGTTGGTATATGATGATGATGGTAGTATGCCAGGGGTGACGGGGACATTGTGGAGTATGTCACGCTTCTTGGGTCTGGTTCTGGGTGAGATTCCACGGCTGAGAGATGATGAGCATGGGTATGGGCCCATGGGGAAGGGGTTTATTGGTCATGTTGATATTCCGGAGGAGGTTGAACACGCGTATTCTAGGGTCCAAAGGGGGATAGGAGAAGATTCGGCAAAGAGATAGATTGGTCGTTTTCAGGTTGTGTTGTGGCTGTGGTTTTACTATGGGGAATCTCGCGATCGGAACTGCCGAGATATCCACTAGAGACCCATTTCCATGATACCATGTTGTCTGTATCAGAACGCGTACTTACATAGAAATGTATTGTAATCAGCCAGTTTACTACATATTGTGACGTATATAACGGTATATATTAGGTAACATATGGTACCATACGTAAGCAGATACGGCATCTCCCATCCGATGCACTTCTTGTCTCTGTTAAATCTTCCACCGAACACAAGCTTCAAGTCTGCAGGTACGTAAGCTTGATTCCAAAATCCGTGGCCCTTTGTTGACTGATGAGTGCACGTTCCAGCAATCATGAGACTTGCCAACGGTAGACCCTGACTCGTGGATTGCCAAGCGGCCCTGTCGAACCGCTAAAGGGACTTAGTTCTTGACTCTTCGTCAGCTCCGACATGATCATCGCTGCAATATCCCCTTCGAAATAGCCGAGCGCCCGTCAGCACTCGTCTCGAAGCCGGCGGGGTCCCTGCTCTTGATTCGATTTCTCCGTGAATAAGGAATTGTTCTGAAAGGCCTGAGCTAAAGCTTGACCTCTGATTCACGAGAAGAAAATGATCGGCATCGGTCCAGGAACGGGAAACCAACGGGACGAAACAATGAATCCAGAATTAATATCGAGAAACCCTGCCGTCTCTCACCGTCGTGTCAATCCTTGCAGCCACCTCATATGAGCTGAGGTGATAGGGGCGGCTATGGATTCTCCGGTGGGAGGAGCTGCCCTCGAGGTATGTGGCATACTGGATGCTTATAAAAGGCCAGCGGCAATTGCTGCGATCGGTTGAGACCAAGCAGAGAAACACTTGCAAAGTAACTTCTCACCATGCCTGCTTTTTCCCTTCTCGCTCTCGCCCTCACCCCATTGCTGGTCAACGGCCAGCTCTCCGGTAGCGTCGGTCCGCTCACTTCGGCACACTCCAAGGCTGCGACCAAGACGTGTAACATCTTGGACTATGGTGCTGTGGCAGACAACTCCACCGACATTGGGTCTCCCCTCTCAGAAGCCTGGGATGCGTGCTCGGACGGAGGTCTGATTTATATTCCTCCTGGTGACTATGCGATGGACACCTGGGTGTCTCTGTCAGGAGGCAAGGCGACCGCCATCATCCTGGACGGTACTATTTACCGTACTGGCACCGATGGCGGTAATATGATTCTAGTGGAGAATTCTTCCGACTTTGAGTTGTACAGTAACTCGTCCTCTGGTGCCGTCCAAGGATTCGGATATGTGTACCACCGGGAGGGCGATCTTGATGGACCACGGATTTTGCGACTCCAGGATGTGAGCAATTTCGCGGTGCATGATATCATTCTCGTGGACGCGCCAGCCTTCCACTTCGTCATGGACGACTGCTCCGATGGAGAAGTGTATAACATGGCTATCCGGGGTGGTAACTCGGGCGGCTTGGATGGGATTGATGTGTGGGGTAGCAACATCTGGGTTCACGACGTATGTTCCACATCATACCACAATGGAAAGCTTCCAGTGCTGATACATGTACCCAGGTTGAGGTGACCAACAAGGATGAATGTGTCACGGTCAAGGTAGGGCCCACCTGGTATGACCATCCCTAGCTCGGTTACTGACAACCCGCAGAGCCCTGCCAACAACATCCTAGTGGAAAGCATCTACTGCAACTGGAGTGGAGGTTGTGCGATGGGTTCTCTCGGCGCTGACACCGATATCACTGATATTCTGTACCGCAACGTTTACACCTGGAGTTCCAACCAGATGTACATGATCAAGAGCAATGGCGGTAATGGGACAGTCAAGAACACCCTTCTAGAGAACTTCATTGGTATGTCTGGCCCACTCGAACTAGGTATATATAGCCCCCGGCTAATGCGTTGCAGGACACGGAAACGCCTATTCTCTGGATATTGACAGCTACTGGAGCAGCATGACAGCCGTGGATGGCGACGGCGTGGAACTGAGTAACATCACATTCAAGAACTGGAAGGGAACGGAGGCGGATGGTGCCGAACGCGGGCCCATCAAGGTGGTATGCTCGGACACGGCCCCTTGCACCGACATCACCATCGAGGATTTTGCCATGTGGACCGAAAGCGGCGATGAGCAGACCTACACCTGCGAGTCGGCGTATGGTGATGGATTTTGCCTCGAAGACAGCGATTCCACCACCTCGTACACGACCACCCAGACTGTCACCACGGCGCCCTCAGGATATTCGGCCACCACGATGGCAGCGGATCTCACCACGGACTTTGGCACGACCGCGTCCATCCCCATCCCTACCATCCCGACTTCCTTCTATCCCGGCGTGACGGCGATCAGTCCCTTGGCATCGGCTGCCACGACGGCTTGAAATCGAGAATGATTCATTCTTTGCTACCCTTTGGCAGGAGTGGAATAGGTGAGGGCAGGTGTGTACAGTGTGTAGGTAGTTAGTTAACCAGTGAGTGAATGAGTAATTAATAACACATTTAACTGGCGGTGTATCTCTTAAGATGATTTCATTTCCTTTACTTCAAGATCTGCATCCAGAGGATGGAAGAATGCGCAATTTATGCATATATAATGCGTGATTGGCTGGCGATGAAAAGAAATGAGACCATCGGCCCTGCAGATCCCGCCATCTTAAGGTTTCTACCGTGAGTTTTTCTTTGATGCTCCTCTCATCCTCGTGTCTTGTGTAATCATCTACCATTAATCACCGAGCACATCCTCCTCCGCAACCGGATGTCTTGTTTCTTGTCACTTCTCTCCCTCTCCACTTCCCCTTCACTCCTTCTTCACTTTCTTTCACTCTCACAAAATGACATCTGTTTGGCAGCCTCACTGAACGAGATTCTGCTCCCGATCGCAAGTTGAGATGCGACCAGAAAATTGCCGCCGATAAGCTTCGCTGATTTTCTGTCTCAACCCCGCAATTCCAAACCGACCGGATCAACCCCGAGGAATCTATTCTTCAACTTGTCATCCTCACATCGCCGTGATCATGACGGGCGCATCCAAACCAGATGAGGCAGAGCCCGTGTTATCGACGCTGGAAGGGGCTTCGAACCCGCCGACGCCCAATGCTGCTGCTGCTGCCTATCGCTACAAGGCCGATCTGCTCAACCGCGCCATTCAAGACATCGGCATGGGCAGGTATCAGTGGCAGCTGTTCGGCGTCATTGGATTCGGCTGGGCCAGCGACAACCTATGGCCCATCGTCACCTCCCTCATCCTCGTCCCAGTGTCTTATGAATTCAACGTCGCCCGGCCGCCGTTACTGTCCCTGGCCCAAAACATCGGGCTGCTAGCCGGGTCGCTCTTCTGGGGCTTCACCTGCGATCTGTTCGGTCGGCGATGGGCCTTCAACCTGACCATTGCCATCACCGCCATTTTCGGATTGGTCGCTGCTGGCTCACCGTCTTTCGCAGCCGTGGGCGTCTTCGCTGCATTATGGTCCTTTGGCGTTGGCGGCAACCTGCCCGTCGACTCGGCCATCTTCCTCGAGTTTCTCCCCGGTTCGCACCAGTACCTGCTCACGGTACTATCAATCAACTGGGCGCTGGCACAGCTCCTCGCCAACCTCGTCGCATGGCCTCTGATCGGCGAAACGACCTGCGCCTCCGCCGACCACTGCACCAAGGCCTCCAACATGGGTTGGCGCTACTTCCTCATCGCAATGGGCGGCCTCGCTCTCTTCATGTGCCTAGCCCGATGTCTATTCTTCAATCTCTACGAATCCCCCAAGTACCTCATGGGCAAAGGCCGCCACGAAGAATCCGTCGCCGTCGTCCATGAAGTCGCGCGTCGCAACGGCACCAGCTCCTCTCTATCCATAGATGACCTCCAAGACGACGGACCCATCTCCAGCAGCACCGAAACAACCACCACCAACACCCCCACCCCAACCCACACAACACCCAACAACGGAGCCCTCGGCGCCCTCGACCATCTCCGCATGCGCCTCGAACCACTCTCCGCCCCCTACGTGCGCGCTCTCTTCCGCACCCCGCGCCGCGCCTGGTCCACGACCCTCATGATCCTCATCTGGGCCCTCGTCGGCCTCGGCTTCCCCCTATACAACAACTTCCTCCCCTACCTGCAGCAAATGCGCGGGATCCAATTCGGCGACGGCTCGACGTACATCACATACCGCAACTCGCTCATCATCGCCGCGGTCGGCGTCCCCGGCAGCTTAGTCGGCGGAGTGATGGTCGAGATGCCTCGGTTAGGACGCAAGGGCACGCTGTGTCTCGCCACACTCTCCTCGGGCGCGTTTTTGCTGGCGTCCACGACGGCGAAGACCTCCGGTGCCCTGTTGGGGTGGAACTGCGCCTACAGTTTCACTAGCAGTTTGCTGTATGCGGTGCTGTATGCGTACACGCCGGAGATCTTCGAGACGCAGTATCGCGGTACTGGGAATGCGTTGGTCGGGGGCGCAAATCGGATTGGAGGGATCTTGGCGCCGATTATTGCTCTGGTGTCGAATATGGAGACAGCGGTGCCGGTATATGTTAGTGGGGGGATGTTTGTGCTGGCGGGGTTGTTGGTCGTGTTGATACCGTATGAGACGAGGGGGAGGATGAGTTTATAGTTTTTGTTGTTGGGGGTACACAGTGTAGGTACAAGGATTAATTGGTAGGGGTGTGTGAATGCTGTGCTTGTATGACATGGCAGGGTATATTAGGAGGTACATAAAGGGAGGGACGGGGATAGTACTTGTGATGATCATACAATATGATGATCTGAAGAATATGATATGACATACATGGACATGACTGATAGTATTTGTCTCCCCTTGCACTAATAGTAGATACTACCTCCCAGCAATACCAAACAAATAACATTACACCTTGAAACAAATAGTAAGTGCCCACTACCTAAAATCCCTACAGCCGTGAAACTATCTATCCCTAGAGCAGAATGCATACAAAAGCCTGCATACATACACGCATACACGCACATGATGCACACGCAGATAATAAAATAAATTGACAATTAGAGTTTTGAAGGTAAGACAGACATGCAACTTAACTAGAAATTATTTAAGTCTGTTTCTGCGTGCTTGCGCGTACTGTCTGCTAGAGGAGGTTACTAATTTGCAGATACTTATGCATGAGGGGTTATTTGATGTGTCTGGGGTGGTATCATGTTTGGATGTTATTAGGGAGTCAGTTAGGGGGTATTGGACTGCTTGATTGGGTATTAGGCTGTGTTTTGGGATTAGGATTATGGTTATGGTGTTTCGGGGGAAGATATTATTATATCGTTGAGGGGAAGGGCTGAGGAGGGAGTAGTACTACTGATGGTATGAGTTAAAGTATGATTTCGGTTTAAGCTCCCAGTGAAGCGTTGCACAAAAGTGCTTTTACATGTTCTACAAGCCACGATCCTTCGGATGAGTTGTTCTAGAAAGGATATATTAAGTCTGCTGAGATACTCCGGATATCCGGTCAAGGTATCACACAGAGATTCAACCAAATAAATAGGAAGAGGTCACCTGGCGGGGTATCTAAATACACGTAGTCTCACTATATATTTCTGTCATTGACAGTACACTTCCATCCAACCCCACGAAAACCATCACAATGACCCGCTACCGCAGAGCAATTAAGAAAGAACCCAGCCGATATGAAGATCTCAGTCGATATGAAGATGTCCTCGGCCAACTGCCCATGCTGCAGGTCTACACCCACATCTTACTCCTTTTCCCTATGCCCGAAGGCATAACCCGTGACGACATCGTATCTGATCTGATATCGGCCGTCGCCCTGATTCGCGAGAAGGTGCCATGGATGGCGGGAAAGGTGATCAATGTTGATAAAAGTCCCTGTAACTCGGGGAGATATATCGTTGTACCTTGTCCGGCCCCAAACCGGCTTGTTGAAGTGAAGGACGTCTCGCGGGAGCTTCCACCGTATCAGGTAATCCAGCGATCGAAGGCGCCGAATTACTTGCTGGACTCCAGTCTACTAGCACCCACTACGGCGTTCCCTCAGCGGTTCGAAGACTCAGAGGAGGATCCTTCCCGTGTGATTCGACTTCAAGCGAACTTTGTAGAAGAGGGTGTGCTTATCGATTTTGCGACACAGCATAATATGACGGACGGCGGGGGAGTATTTGGCTTTGCCAGGCTCATTGCTCAGGCTATGCGCGGCGAGAAGTTCTCCAACGATCTGCTGGAGAAGATAAATTGTGATAGACGCAATGTTGTTCCTCTTCTGCGTCCGGATGAGCCGATGCTAGACCATAGTCGTTACCTGCTCCCTCCCAGTACAGACATGCAGCTTGTAGAGTGCACAGAACCAGCCCAGTGGCATGTTGTACGCCTAGCTACAGCCAACGTGACTGAGCTTAAGACATGGGCTACTCCGCCGCCCGGAGAGTCAGATCCAGAGGTGCTTTTCATCACAGGCGACGACGCTATTAGCGCGTTTTTCTGGAAGAAGCTCACGATGATGCGGCATCAGCGTCGCAGTACGCCTGATACCCGATCAAGGTTCTCGCGTGCTATGGACGGCCGCAAAGTATTGGGTGTTCCAGCCGAGTATATGGGCGACCTTGTTCATAATGTAGCGATTTGGCTGACCATCGGTGAACTGATCGACCTGCCACTGCACGCGATAGCGTTCCACCTTCGCCGGGAAATGAATCGCGCAAACACAGCGTACCATATACGATGCTTCGCAACGTTTATTGCACAACAGCCGGATAAATCGATAATAACATATGGTGGGGTCTTCAATCCCGATACAGATGTAGGAATGTCGTCGCTCTCGCGGGCAGATATCATGCACCATGAATTTGGAATACTCGGCCGCCCCGACTTCGTACGACGACCTAACTTCTCGGGAAACGTAGTGCCCGGTTTGCTATATATCTTCCCAATGCAGCCGCAGGGAGATTTAGACATGCTTGTTTGTTTGACCGATGCTGACATGGAGGCATTGAGACATGATTCGGAGTGGAATCATGTAGTAGAGTATATTGGATGAGCTGGTGGGATCCCTTCTGTAGCTCAGCGATTGACATTGAAATATCGAGATTTATTGGACTTGGGTTTGCTCAGCACCAATAAAGAGAAAGCACGAAAGAACCTCTGTAATAGTATTCACAGGGTCCTGTCCCTTACAAAGGTCCAAGCAGCATCTGTAAAAGCCACTCGTCATGGTGTAGTTGCGGGTCTCGTGTTAACAGAACGGAAAAGAGGTAAATTGTAAATTATATATGAATATATAGCAATGTTGCTTGTGTATGGGTAAGCAACTGGGCAAATTAAGGTTTCCGGAGTGTGATGATCCAATCCACCGAACCCCTCAGTTGGCGGATACTGGGTGACCGGTTCAATTCAACTAGGGCAATAGATTGTCACCTTGTCTTCCTGTGGGCGGGCTCTACCGCAAGGTACAAGGGGCACTGAGGCATGATGATTCAAGATTGACTCCACTGTTAGTTGTAGGTGGGCATGAATGACCCTGCGGAATCCGCATAAGAACAAGCTTGCCCGCTTGTTGCTCCCCGCCATTCACATTCACAAACTTGAGGAGCTGCTGACCAATCAAAAGAGCTTAGAATGTGGTAAAGAATGGCGGAATTGCTTGGTTGACGGGTTGACGGGACAGATGGGCATCGTTAGACGTGCTAGCAGGAGGGTGTGCACCAAAGTGGTAGATGACATTAGTGTGATCGAACTGAGGGCTGCATGGTGACTGGCTGGAAGCGAACAGCGACGAATACTAGATAGGGCAGTCCAAACTTATAAGTCTTTCCCTACAGCCGGTGGGAAGCAATAACCTGTTTGTAGCATGGCGGCCCACCAAAGAACGCAGCGAAGAAACTTGAGCTAAATGGTCAAGGCAAGGTTGCCTCTCTGAAAGTTTAGGTTGAGCTTGTAAGGAATCCCTTCCGGATATTGATCCGCACCTACCATGATAATTCCAGTCGAACAAGCCCAGGAGCTAAGTGGATGTAGAACATCGCCACGTTCCGACCAAAGATGCAGTGACGAACCGAATATAAAGCCACCACATATAGTAACAGTGACGACCCAGGGAAAAGTAAAGTCTCATTGTAGGTTAGGAAGATGCTCTCTCTCTAGTAATATTTATCTGTTCCCATATCCAGGCGTGTCAAGCCAATCATACAGTTGCCGAACACCCATGGCAATTGCTTAGAATGTCCGAGATAAGTCCTATAAAGTTAGCTGTAGCGGGTACCGAATGAATAAGATCTAGGAGTCTGGCGTCAGTGGCGCTGGTGCATATCCGAAACAGCAGATGAGACTCATAAACCTTGGAAGAAAGTGCAGGTGCCAGGTTCCAGCCAGATATTCAGTGTTCGGTTCCAAACGCATTGGGAAGGTACCCCAGATCCCTAATGTCGCATGATAGAAGCTTGCCCTGAAGCTTAAGCCTACGAAACCGGATTCGATTTAGCTGCGCATGGTTGTCCCTGATTCATGGAAACCTTAAGTTCCAGGTAGATCACTTGGCAGGCGGATATGGCAAAGGCGTTTGGTCAAAAGCGCACAAGGGTCATGTTGTGCTAGGATTCAACTCCGACTACCGCATGGCACATTGGTTGACATCGTCGGTGCCGCACACGCTCGAATCCCTCAATCATATATGGACCATGGCCGGGTCTCCTGAGGAAGTGACGGTCACACTGACGCGCTTTTCGAGAAAGTGGGTATCCTAGAAAATTGTATGTAGACGATCCACTGCATCACCGTCATGGCCACCAAGGTCATTGGTTTTTATCCCTCAAATGACGCACTACGTTGGTCATTCTATCAGATGTCAATCTAGTTATGTTTTCCAAAAGGGTATGTGGTACGCACAACATGAGTGCGCAGTCAATCATTGCACACGGAGGCCTTGGACTGGTAGTAGGGAAGTGATCGCCAGCTTCCGGGTATATAAGGCAAGATGGTGTCAATGAGTGGATTTACCAAGAGGAACCTTCAAGCCATCAAACAATATGAGCATCGGACGAGATATCCTTTGTCAAAAACTTCAAGTCTTGCTGGACCGCCGTCGCGCGGAGGGAAGATTGTATGAGCCAGCCTCGCCAGACGAGTTTGAAGGGACAGTGGACTTTGGATCAAATGATACATTGTCCCTCTCAGCATCTGGACTCTTGACCGAGGCTTTTCTTCACCAGCTTGAAAGACATCCCCATTTCACTATTGGAACCAACTCCTCGCGATGCTTCGAGGGCACAAAGCAATTCATACTGGATATTGAACGTGATTTGTCTCAATTTCACAATGCCGAGGACGCTCTTTTCTTCGGATCCGGGTATGATGCTAATACCGCCATCTGGTCCGCGATTCCGCAGCCCGGGGACTTCATTGTCTTCGACGAGCTAGTGCATTCTAGCATTCGTGAGGGCATGCGGCTGGGACGAGCTAAGAGCATTTCATTCCGTCACAACGACAGCCTTTCTCTGCGACAACGCCTAGAAGAGCTCCGGGACCAGAATTCCGAAGTGGCAGAAGGTAAACGACTTGTGTTTGTTCCAATCGAGTCAATCTATAGCATGGATGGAGATGTGGCTCCTCTTCACGAGATTGTAAAGGTTGCCTATGACACTCTGCCTCGAGGGAACTATATCCTTTCAATCGACGAAGCACATTCTAACGGCATCATTGGGCCACATGGCTCAGGAGTCGTCTCTTTGTATGGACTTGAGAATGAATTCTCGATCAGGTTACATACCTGTGGAAAAGCGCTGGCGTCATCGGGAGGTACGACGACCCCATCATTGTTCGAAATTTGGCAATGCTGATATTATAAAATAGCGGTGGTATTGTGCAATTCGACAATTAAAGAGGCGCTGATCAACTATGGGCGGAACATCATATTCACCACTGCGCCATCTTTCACAACCGTGGCAGCTGTTCGCGCAGCCTATGAGATACTGGCCACCCAGGAAGGACACAGGGTATGTCCTGTCACCCTCGTAAAATGTCAGCAGCAGTACTGATCTCCATGTTGTAGCGCCAGCAACGTCTGCAAAAGAACATATGGTACTTCTATTGGACCTTGACAAAACACCCTCAGTGGGAGGATATCAAAGAGCGAAACATCCTTACCCTGCCCACTGAGAAAACATGGTATACCAGGCCATTCAAGTCACCGATAGTTCCAATAATCACGAAGCCTAAGCAATCTAACAACTTGTGCAAGAGGCTGCGGCGGGCAGGATATTGGGTAAATTCCGTTGATCACCCTACTGTGCCCAAGGGAACGGGTCGAGTACGGTTGATGATCCACGCGGACAATACCCGAGAGGAGATGGATGGGGTAATCCAGTTAATCATGAACTGGGCTACTGAGCAATATCAGCCAGTGGAGTCAGTTCAAATCATGGCGAAAATGTGAGGTGGGTGAGCATGTGGGAAGAGGAATGAAAGAAGTAGTCCTTTGTTTTGGCGAATGATGTTGTGGGTCATGTGGCGACTGCCGCAAGATAAACGCCGAGGAGTCTATCTTGGGAACTATACTACAGAGTAGTGTTAGAGAATAAGATTTCTTTTGTTTTATCTAGAAACTGTGAGCCTTCGTATATATTTAGCTGTCTTTAGCTTGTCAGAATACTGTAAGTATATGTAATCGTTTTCAGTCATATATAAATATCATAACTATTTTCGTGGACATATTTACATGTAGGATATCAACCCACCACCGCCAGCTGGCTTCTGACAGGCACGTTATGTCGCAGCTTAGGCGATGGGAATCCCTGGACATTGACCCCCTTCCGGAAGAGCAGACAATGCGTGGAGCCACCGAAATGGAACATACCAATCTGATCACCCTTGGACACATGCTGGCCCTCGGAGACGGTAATCTCACAGGTTGAGACCTCGCACATGCCCACGCCCAGGAACGCCATGAGCCCAATATCAGGGTTGTCGCACTCGATAAATATAACAGCCCGCGTAGCCGTGGCGGTCAGGTATTCCTGAGACATGACCTCGCCAGCGCTATCAATCCCATGTTGGTTGGATGGATCCGGGTCTCCGATGCCCTCGAATAACGGCTCAGAGTAGTATGTTCCATCCACGACATACGCCTTGACGATCTTCCCGGATACCGGTGCATGCCAGCGGTGATAGCTCAATGCACTCAAGAACGCCTGGTAGACCGTGCCGCCCTCGAACTGCTTAGCCAACGGATCACACCCCACCATATCATATACCGAGTAGGGCTGGCTCTTGATCCAGAATTGATCGCGCGCCTTGACATCATACGCGACCTTGTATGGCTGCGACTCACACGCATTGGCAATGACCTTGTCGTCACTGGGCGAGGCAACGGGACGGATACCCTCTCGGAACAACCGAGTGAAGAAATGATCCCAAGAGTTGAATCCATGATGCTCTGCCGACGGGTCGCAGACATACAACTCCTCGAACGAATGATTGGTCTTCTGCACATTGCCTACCTCCTCTAGATCAGACTTGGCTGTCTCGCCAAACCACCCATACTTCGAATCATCCAGCACCTTAGCTGACTCCGGTGACTTGAGGAAATCGCCCCATGCATTAAGCAACTTCTTAATCATGCGGTTGACATCTGGATCCAGGAACGCAGCATATCCACTCGGAGTACCCATCGGCCAATCCAAAACCGCATTAATAGGCAACCCGACCAGTCCCACACGGTGGGAAAAGTCGTTCCATGAGGGGGCAGTGGTTATGAGATGGTTCAGCACACGTAACATGTGCTTGTAGTCCTGCATTTGGGGACAGCCGGTAGGATCCGTAGAGTACGTTCGGTTTCGAGGGAGTTCGTTAAACATGGCGGAGATGAGCAGGTATACGCGAGTGTTGTTTTCAATGAGGTCCTGGAATTCCTGAATCACTGGATGAAGGTCGTGAGATTCCTTGCTGTCCACATGTGCGATGACACCTCCCAGCCATTCATGATGGGCGTCGAGTGTAGAAGGCATCCATTTACCAAGGCTACCAAAAACATGTTAGCCAAATACCCTGCTAAATATCCACCTTAAGAACAGAAGATACATACTGATGCAACCGAGGCGTATGATTCTTATACTTGGGAGCCATCTTTGTACTTCAATTCAATTCGAACAAATTCAATTTAACTCAAGATCAAAATCAAGACTGATAGTTTTCAATATCAGATCAGACAGCCTTGGCAAAGCTTATCGCAGAACACAAACGACCCAATGGGCCTTTTCAAGTGTTTATAAACTCCATCGAGATTCAAGAATCAGCTTGAATTGAACAACAATATCAGCAATTGCATCATCATGATGGCAGCAACAGGGGTGGGGACCCAGAGTGGATCGCATTTGGATCCGTCGTGAAGCTAAAGGCGAAGCCATCCCCGGCCGTGATGTCATATCATGGCCTAGGCTTAGCCGTCTCTCCCGCGGAGGTGTCGCTAACGGGGTATAACACTTTTCAAGAGGAATTGCTGTGTAGATAACTGGCTGGGACAGTTTCTAATATCCTAACAGGCAATATAGACGAAAAAGGATGTAAATCATAAAAGGAATCATAGAAAAACTGAAAGTACATACCCAAGAACCTACTCCGTAAACCCGCTTTAATCCATAGAATAATTCTGCCACCACCAGACTAAAGGCGGTCAAAAAAACAACAGAATGCCGGCTCAGATTTTCGGGGGTGCATAGAATGTATATCCGTCTATATCCGTTTATATCCGCCATTTTCTGATCGAGGTTCGCTAGGTTCTGCCGCTTTAGACGGTAAGTCTAGCGGTCGGGAATTTGGTTTTCTGCCAGATTATACCAGAAAGGCGGTACAAAAAGCAACAGAATGCTGACTTAGTTTTCTGGGGCTGTATAAAATGAATATCCGTTTATATCCGCTTATATCCGCACTTTTCTCTGCGAGGTTCGCTAGGTTCTGCCAGATCTGGCGGTGAGGGAAGCGGTCTGGGTGTATTTGAGAGGCGGGTTTTGGTTAGGTATGTTGAGGCTGGGATGGTTGGGGCTAGACGTTGGGGGTATATAAGGTCGTTACTAGTCGTTTGGGGTCATTTGGTATGCTTTATTATGTTTATATGAGGAGTACTAGTCTGGACTGCAAAGAGGTTGAGATCATCGAGGGATATTTGTATGTTTTCGAGGGGATAGCAGGCATCACATACCATCGATATGATCGATATAGGAATAGTATATTGCTAGTTACGCTAAGACACTCTATTGTGTGAAGTTGTAGTCACTATTTGGAGTACATCATTGATAGTATGTACTAATGAAATTAAAAGTCGACAAGGTAGACGATAATTCGAATATTCCTCATAGTAGAAGCACCTAGAGGATGTCTCTGGCTATATACGTATAGGCTTCCGGCTTAGGGTGTTATGTACCATAATCCGATTGACATATGCGGTTTGTTCCTCCGTGATATCGATTTCGGAGTAGAGTTTTATATAGTCCACGGTTCTACGCAGCTAAATGGCAGGTTAGTAAGTCTCTACATAGGGAAGGATGCCTCGTGAGTATCGGTTGTCGCTCATGCGAATTTTCCATCCCTCCCTGGCATATATCGTTATCTGGTAATAGTCAGCTAGTTTCTCTCACGTTCAAACAAGACTCATCTCACCCCCTTACGGTTTGTTCTCTTGGGAGATCGGTAATCAAATCGTGATGGGTCATTCTGGACCTATCCTGTACGTATTGGTTACTGGCCATTCAAGACCTGCCCTCACTGCTCTATGTTTAGGCTGTCCCATGTTCACGCGTAGGCTCTGGCTCAGATTCTTCATCTCCCTCATGATCATGATCATGATCATCAAAGTCATCGTCTTCCAGATCTTCCCACTCCTCTTCATTTTCCCTGGCCAAGGCCTCCATCTCAGCATCGTCTTCGTCGTCGAGCTCATCCCCGAGAAGGCTGACTAATTGCAAAAGCCCTGCCTGTGAGCGCCAGTTATCCTCAGTCCGCCGTTGACGTGGTTCGGAGCTCCAGAGTCCTTCGCCTGTCGCCTGTTGGTCGTCGACGGGAACAGACTTGCCGTCGGAGAGATCGGGCGCTAGGCTGACAATGCGGATGGCTTTGGTGGGAAAGATGCGAGCAGGCCCCTCGTCCTGATCATCGTCTGGAATATCAGCATTATGTTGACGGAAGCCGAGAGTCTGTGATTATCCGTTAGCTTGCATTTTCTGATTCAGTTTCTGGTAAGAGGGCACATAGGACGAACAGTGTAGGTAGTCATGATCGCATCATCATACAACGCCATGAAACTGACCGGCACGGCAAGCTGTGGCACCGAGCTAGTGAGCAGAGAGTAGGAAGCCCGAGCTGGGTTATTAACGTTCTGAATCTTGTTGTCGTCGTCGAGAGCGACGACATAGATCCTATCTTGTATCTCAAACATCACACGGTGATTGCGCACAGACAACCAGCCGCCTAGGTCAAAGTTGGATCCGTCCGACTCGCATTCGATGAGAGACCCATGTTCTGAAATCCCGTTCTCGGTCTGTAGGGCCTTCCGCCAGTTGGAGCATACAAAGACACGACCAGCGCGGGAAAACCCAACAAACAGGTCACCGTGGAGCATACCAGCACCCCATTCGTCGTCACCATGTCTCACGTGTTCAAAGTCGGTCGGTGGCGGAAGAGGACCCTTGGAGAGCTCGATTGGCACCAAGTAATCTTTGCGAGGTTTGCCAAGGGCGATCATTTGCTGAGTCGGGCCGTGTCGCGCAGCAGCAGCTAGTGCAGCGATCGCAGATGGGGAGGTAGCAACCGGTGGAAGAATGTGATACATGTCTGTGCAACGGAACGGCTGCAGTGCGCCTAGGAACTCGCCGGTCGCTTTGTTGTAGATGTGATAACCGCGGGGACCCATAGAGTAGATGACAGCGTCCGCGCTCTGATCCAAATGTCCGACGGCATCATTCTCGATAGAGATGTGTGTCGTCAGCTTCGGAGGCCGCTGCGTCATATCATACACAAAGCCTTGTCCCTGTGTGGAAACCACACATAGCGTCCAGTACGACAGCTGGAAGCCTCTTGTCTGACAATTATGGTCTAAGATTGCGATGCGCCGAAACTCTCCACGCTTGGCACCCTCCTGATCAGCCTGCCAGACCTCAAGCGCATCTCCCTCACGGTCAAAGACCGCCATTCCGTCCTGGTACTCCAGATGGGCATACGGGCGAACCGAACTCTCATCACGTTCCAGCGTGGAGGGTAGCCGCCATAGAATTTTGCCCGTATCCATATCCGTAACATTCAGTCCACCCGCATGTGACGTGGAAATGAAGAACCGGCGCTTAAAGTCTGCCCGGAACCGCCAGACAGGATTGTTGCCCACTTGAAGCACCGACTCGCGGGTCACTGGGCGCTCAGCGGCCCAATTGCGGGCGAGCAGCTTCTGGCGCTTGCATAGATCTTTCCATGATGTAGGATTCTCAAACAATTTGGTGAATGATGTGGTACTGTCCGACAAAAATGAAAAGTCGCGGGCGCCTCCTGGAGGTTGGGCGGTTTTCGATTCGGAACTGTAGATGGCTTCTCGATGGGTGATGTCAATAAATTGGTGCCAGGGCTTGGAGACGGCGGTCAGCGACGCTACAGCGGAGACTGGAAGAAATTCCACAACGCGCAGGACAATCTCGGGCGGTAAAACGGTAAGAGGGTCTGCCATGTATGGGGAGGCAGACATCTTGGAAGTGAAAGAACCGTTATGCAAATAGAAGAAGGAAGTTGAAGAAGTTGCAGGCCTGCGGGGAAGAAGATTGTTGAAGCCCATCTTTCCATTCTGCCCCGCCTTGCGCTTCACCGCCTTGGCTATCGCTATCGATTGGTGATTGAGTCCTCCAATTAGGCTTCAACTTTTCTTTCTCGACCGAGAATGTCTGTTGGAACAGCAAACTCACTCGTGCATCAGATCCTAAAGTGGACGTCGTCGGACGACCAAGTCAGTACGAATTTCTGTTCCAAAACTCTTTGACGAATGTGTAACGTCATTGTGATCATTTTGTTTGAATTCATCGCATCAACTACTTATATAACCCTCTCATTTATTATGTAATAGCCCATAGATCTCTCCAACTTCGCCCATGCTAGTGATACCACCGGCTCACAACATCGCTCTCCTCGATAGTAAATGCCGCTCTAGTCTGTCGCGTAGCAAGGCGCTTAGCCACCTCATTCGCTTCGTTCAAGCTTACCAGCTTCCGTTTACGCGACTGGGTGCCGGCTCGTTCGCAGGCAATTCTATATATTGCTTGCCGCTCACTCTCTGGCCTATCCGGGTACCCAGGAAGGTATGACTCGGGTTTCTGGTACAAAAGACATGCACTCCGCGTGTGTTCCGGCTCGTACTGCCCTCTGTCGGATAGGATTTGTGGCGGATTGGACGTGGCTTCGAAGACCCAATTGTCGGTAGCCAGTTCCAGGGGTGTGCTACCGGTGGCATTCTCGCGGTGGAGAAGATCAGGACGGCATTCGATCATAGCCTCGAATATCCTGGGGCATTGGTGCTTGACGGCTTCATGAACGGGGGTGTTTCCTGTACCGTCAAACATATCTAAATGCTTTTGGCTCGTTGACTGGGCAAACTCGAGGAAACAGCGGATAATGGCCAGCTGGTCTTCTGTCTCTTGTCCACGGTCGGACCCCCATCCGCTTGATGCCCTTGACCATGCCTGATAACTCTTATGCATCCAACGAGCAAGTGGCGTCAATGATCCCGGGTCATCGGAGGACCGCTCCGTCAGCAACGATGGGACTAACCGGGGATCGAGCAGGGAGAGAAGCCTCTCTACATTGCCTGGCTCTTCTCGAGCATTACCATTGATATCACATAGCATTAAGTGAACCAAGTTGTTGCCTTGACGATCACGAATTGTCTGATTGGCGCCGGCCCTGATAAGAATATTGGCGAACTCTGAGTTGCCGAGGGAGAATGCAAGCGCCAAGGGCGTATGCCCTGCAGCCGATTTAGTCTCCATAAACTGCGGAAGGCGCTTGGCAAGGCTTTCAACTAGCTGGCATGATTCCGGTGTAGGTTTTGAGAGCACGGCACAATGCAGAAGATTGTTGTCTGTCGTGTCCAAGTCAGCAAAAAAGTTCTAGAACATCGTGCTAGCACTCACTCTTGCCCTGAAGCCAGTTCAGCACGAGCCTCTCCAGGTCTTCGACCGACTGTGATAAGAGCTTCAATTTGTCCACCTGCTCATTTGTTTTTATAAACTCAACGTATGCTCTGGCCGAGTCTGGGCTGAGAAACCATTCCACACTGGCCATTGACCCTGAATGCGCCGCTGTGAGCAAAGGCGTCTCTTGTTCTTCCGGCGATACGGGCAATCCTCTTCCTGCAGCGGCCCAATCCGCCCTTTTCTTTCCACGTATAGTCAACCCTTGATAATATTTCGGTTTCTCCTTAACGTCGACGCCACACTTCTGAAGCAGATTGTCGACAGGAAGGCCTGTGCCAGTATACTTGATAATCGCCTCAAGGCAGCCCAAATAGCCCTTTCTGATTGCAATCGGAAAAGCACTGGCGCCGAAATTATGAACCCCGGGTTCGACCGTCTGGTCCCTTTCAGTAAGCTCTCGTCCCAGTTGAAGCAGAAAGACCAGTAGGTCCACATTGTTCTGTCCCACCGCGTATTGTACCAGATCGATATAATTCTCTGTCTTGGACTCTTTGTCAAGGAACTTGTGTGCTGGGCAGTACCGGGAGAATATTTGAAGAGGCGATATGCAACATTCCACTTGCGTGGCTACCTCTCCTATGTTCTCAATGGTGAACCTGTCATCAACAATCTCCCTATATATGCAATCCTCTTCACCGTCATGGAGAGCATCGATGTCCATCTCAAATCTTTCACGAGCATCAGAATCCTCACGTTTGAATTGGGCTTGCACTATCTCAAGGATAGCCTTTGCCACATTGAGGTGTCCACGAAGTACCGCAATGGAAAATGGCGAGAAATTGTCCTTGTCCCACACAGCAATCTGCAATGGACTCGGTTGGATTTCATTATCAGATGTAACTAGCGTGAGCGCCTTGATAGTATTAAGGTCGCCACGCCAAGCAGCCTCGAAACTGCTTAAAGTTAGTGACCTAAAAGCGGTTTCCATGGGCTTTCCTGTGGAAGATAATACTCACAGGTCAAAATATCTCTGCTTCTTTTCATCGGTAAGGTCTGGTACGCAGAAGTTTGTTTCGACCTTGAAAGGCTCCGGTTCCTGATGCTTAGAGTCAGAGTCGCTCTTGCCTCCTGTCTTTCTCCTCTTCCAGGGCTTTTCAAAGTCTGGATAGATCTCGTAGAAAGGCTTTGCACCCTTTTCCACCAATACCTGTTCCAGTGTCTTATAGGCGTCTAGAGTGGCTCGAGCTTCCAAGGTCTTCTCTTTCACACCTTCGCGCCTATTATTGGCATCGACTGCCGAATTATACCTTTCCTGATCCTTTTCATACTGTGCCTTTGCTTTGCGGACTGCCCTTTCTACAGTCCAACGATGGTATGTATCAGGTTGTAGCCCATTTAGACAGTGATCAGGTTTCACTAGTTGGCAGGGAGGCGAGACGCCTAACTTCTCGCCATGGTAGTTGCCCAATGATCTGATTTTGTCTCGGACACAATCGAGTAAAGACTTTCCCACGTTATAGTTTCGCATATACTCGCTGTCCAGTACTCTATACCCATCAGGTGTGAGAGTATTTGGGTCGACGCCATCGCTGCGGAGCAGCCTGTCAGCAATTACCGGTAGATCTTTCTGGACTGCGAGGATGATAGGTTGGGTAAAGTCATGCCGAAAGATAGTTTTGTTCCTTTCAGATGAGTTTGATTTGATCGCTCCATAAATAGCCTGACCGGGATTCACGAATGACTCAAAGTCAATCTGAGGCGTTGCGCCAGCTTCAATAAGCTTGTTTGCAGCATTGTCATTTCTCAAAGTAAGGGCTAACGTGAGTGTAGAGTGAGGCTTGACATTCCAGGGATTAGAAAAGGAGGAGAGGAAATTCATCGCTTTCGCTGTTGCCGAACGATTCTGATGGAAATAGGTTTGGAGGATTTCAGAGGAATCGGTGAAATCACAAGCAACGGCGTAGTGCAGTGGAGTGACACTGTTCATATCTGCCTGTGTTGGAAGTGCCCCAAGCTGCAGTAGCTTCTGTGTCATTGCGATTGACTTTTCGATAGGCAGCCGAAGAGCCAGGACAAGGCACAAGATGGCCGCTCGCGCCCTATCTTGATAAGGATAGAGCAGCTTGACCGGAAGCGCCAAATCAGCTCCAAACGAGGTAACCAGCTCCTGGACCACCTCAACGTGACCATGTAGAATGGCAAGATGAAGCGCTGAAGTGGGAACATCCCAGGCGACTACATTGATGTCATATATATCCGGTTCTTGCTCGTTTTCAGCCATGGCCAAATCCATGCCATCCATTTTATCAGCCTCTTTCCTGACATGAACGAACGATTCGGAATCGACGCTTTCGCTTTCACTAGTGTCGGGCTCCTGCTGACACTCATCGCTACCCTCATCCGGCCGCTTTTCGAGCTGAGCCTGTTCTGTCTCGTTCCGCTTGCTCTTATGCAAGAGTACTCTGACCATCTCGAGATCGCCTCGACCAGCAGCCAAATGCAGGGCTGTGCGGCCATCGGCCAGACGGGAAATCATTCTTGCGCCATGGTCGAGAAGGCATTGCACGATGTCGCTTGTGGAGGTCAAGCAAGCCAATTGCAATGGAGTCCTTCCAGTATGGTCACGTTCGTTAGGGTTTATCTTTTCTTCTGTGAGACATGCCTTAACCCCTTCGATATCACATTCCACAATAGCATGGCACAGCCGCTCCGTGTTACCGATATAAGCCATTTCTTCCCCAAAGTCAGCCTTCTCAGTCTCTGCCAACGGGTAAGGGTGTACAAACCAGTCCAGTCGGTCTCTGTGATTGGGTTGAAACTACCAATCTCCTGACGACCTGGGTTGTCTCTGATGAAGGAGATTCTACCAGAAATATAGATTTTGCTTTCTTTCTCGGCGATTTCTTTTTCTTCAGGAGTGACCGGCTCTGGGCAACAACCACAGCAATCTCCGATGACATCCACGACATTGCCAAAGAACGCGGGATGTCGGTGCAGGTTAACTTCTCTGTCTTTGGGCTTGTTCCACTCTGCATTGAGCAAGAGGTCCTTCGTATAAACAAGCTTCTCGACTTTTCGAGCTTTGAATCTGGGCCCGTAAGGAATCGTCTTGCTCGGGGGTTAGCCTTCAAAATACGAGAATGAAGATCTCACAAGCTTACAAAGGTATGGTAGTCAGAAATCTCCTCTCCCTCTTCCCAGTCGGGGATCTCATCTACCCAGTCATCCTTGATGTTACCGGACTGCTTCCACCTATTAGACCTTGGGGCTGGTCGTCCACGTTCCCGTCGTCTCTGCTCTATATAAGACTCCCGGTCTGACGACTTTGGCAGTCTCTCCAGGACCAGCAGGCGCGCCAGGCCTACTGTCCTACTAAAGTTCCGCTCGAAAATTGTCTATGGACGGCATTAGCTCTCTTGGTTCTAAGAGATATAGAAAACAGAAATACTGACCGGATCTATTTGGGACCTATCCAGCTGCGGCCAGTATATTTCGAACCCACGATGAGAGTACTTTGAGAGGCGGTTCTCATAAGAAGGCGAGCGCCTAGACAAATCAATCGTATTGATTTGGTTTATATATGAAGCCAAAGCACGTGGGGAGACAAAGACTTGCTTCCCATCGAAAGCAGCACAGGAACAATCGACATCAAACCCAGTCAATATCTCAGAGATGGATTTGTATATGCGAAGCACTATCTGCACATGGCGTGTGGGATATTGTGAAACGATGGTAATGGCGTTTTTTGTCCGAACTGTGGTTGTTTCGTAAAGAATCGCGTTCTTGACCTTATCCTCAATCTGCTTGATTTTCTCAATTGCCTGCGCTTCGTCTAAGCCGTAGAGAAACAGATCCACATCCGAGGCCGGCGCGACCTTTTCGTGATAGTACTCTCGCAATGACCGCTTCGAATCCCGATACTTTTCGGGAACGGGGAGCAGGCAAGTGACTACTGCACTTCCTGCGACCACGACATTGCTCCAGTCCATGTCGCTCAATGCACCCTCGGAGAAGACGTTAAAGTTCTTTCGGAACTCATCTAAGGTTGACACCACTGCCGGTGAGCCATTGGGACGCCGACTTTCTTCCTTCAAGGGCATGATATACTGTTCCTTAGTCATAGAGGACTCCGAAGATATGTCTCGGGCCCGTACACGGACGTCCGAACTGCCGTTGGAGTCGTAGAGAGGCACGATGTTGAGGTGATTATCTTGCAGGGCTGCGTGGGTGGCCTCTTGGGCAAACAATTTGCGTGCCACCGCATCGTAGTCATTGTATGGTGCGATGATCTGCTCGAGAGGAGTGTTTGGATGACTTTGGATCCAGCTCGGCAGGTCCCGATGTTTTGCGGGCAGTATCGGCAGGGTAAAGGTAGCCGCCATGTCTGTGATAAATCTATAAATCGGTTTATGAAATTGAACGGCAGCGACACAAAAGCAAATTGGAGACCAAAAATATATAGCTGGGACAATAACAGAAGAATTTCTGTGCCAGATAGAGCCTTCTGAAAGATAGTCTCTCCATCAGAGGAGAGTCCATCAGTATTTAACTTTGTTTAGCAGTCGCAAAGTAGCTTCCTGGAACGGCAAAGCGTAGGCCCCCGGGGGCAGAAACGTCCACCGCCCGCAGGCACGGGACCCACTGCCAGGCTTCGATCAGGCCCCCGGTGGATGCCTGGGGCGCTAGAATCTTTCCTTTGGACCCTGAGTCGCCCATAACGCGATCCAGTCCCCGCTCCCTCGCCGATCAGGGGATTGCAGACTGATTGCAGTTACCTGCACAAGTTGGATGTTACCTAAAACTATTCAAGTCAGGGGGATCCCAGACTCATCTATATTATTGAATTGCGCACACTATACTTGAAAGTATATTAATAGGACAGCAGTGGATAACTGACTGCTTGGGTACCGTCCTGCTGAATATACTTTGCCAACACGAGGACAGTATGTCGGAATCACTGTTAGTGTGGCTCGGCATACATACTTTTCCGCACAGCTGACACGGACTGTACACGGGAAATTCGATGAAAACCCGTCTCTAGCAGCGTGAAACTGTTTGCTTCCTACCAATAGGCAGTATGACATCTCATTGCGAAGAATAAGTTAGCTATCGATTTGGAGTATTCTTGATTCCAAAAGACCTCTATCTCAAGAGCAAGAATTGACCATCATGATGAGAGGCCTAGCCGTGGCTCAACAGCGTAGGTTGCTGGTAGGAGCGGGGCGTTTCTGCTCCACACGTCTCGGAGAAGTGTTTTGAACGAGACAGTTGGCTGATATTAATCTCACTTCAGGTAAAGAACTCAAGAGTTCCAGGGTACTAATGGTAGAGAGGTGTTAACGCCATTGCCATGTTTCTAGCTGTCAATAAGCCCGACCTAGACTATCCGTGTGACGCAACAGAACCTTTTTTGAAAACTATAATGGAGGTGGACCTCAGTACTGGCGAAAGGCCAAATGTGAATCGGATTCGTATCCGACAGGAGTGTGGACATACTTCAACTACATCATTCACATTACATCATTGTACCTGTGACTCGTACCTGATTGAGTACATCGCCTAGCTCAGGCCTCTCATTCAATTGATGTCACGCCGTGATCGGCAGTCATCTGCGCGGGAAGTTTGGTAAAGTACCCAGTCGTAGTAACAGCGTAGGTCTTAGCTTTATAAGGAAAGCAGTGACATCCCGATAAGCCCTATGTCTGGTTACTATATCCTGTCTGAAGCTTCGCAAACCGGTTAAGGTCAATGGCCATTCGTAGTCTAATAGGACAAACCACGAGTGTAGAATTGGTTGACATGCGGGCTCGATCCTTGGTTCAGACATGGATAGGCTTTATACTAGGATATATATATATAAGATAATCTTGTCTTTAAGCGTATCTCACGGCCATAGTTATCTTCCAACTGCAGTCACTGCTAGCACCATGTCGAAAGCAGAAAGAAAACATCCGTATGCTCTTGTCGAATTCTAGGCAGACCTGCAGCAAGCTAAACATAGTCAACCAGATACCTAACAGGAAACTTCGCCCCCATTAGCATCCGACTTACCTCCAAACCCTGCTACTTCGAGGGTACTATTCCCGAGGAGTTCCTGGGCGGCCAATATGTCCGAAATGGCACCAACCCTATCCAGCGCGACAACCCGCGCGGCTTCCATTGGTTTGATGGCGATGGAATGCTCACGGGTGTATATTTCAAGCGCTTCTCCGGACCAGCCCATGTGCAACCCGTCTTTACCAATGAGTATGTCCTAACGGACATACATTGCGCAACCATGCGAGACCGCCGCCTCTACCCCATAATGCCTAGCGTTAAGGCGCTAACTAATCCCGTCTCGTCTACAATACGAATCATGTATGAAATATTGCGAAGTATGGCCTTGATCTTTGCGTCGATTTGTGGTCTGATTGCCCGGCCAATCAAGAGGGTGAGTAGTGCGAATACCAGCATTTTTCATCATGATGGTCGTGTCATGGCAACCAACGAGGTTGGGCCTCCCATGCGTGTGTTTCTACCACTGCTGAAAACAGTGGGCTGGTTTACTGGGAATATGGCCGAGGGCGAACCTGTTGGCACTGATGCTTGCAAGGAGGGGTTTGGCAGCCCAGGGATGGAGGGAGCTATGAAGGAAATGACAACAGCTCATGTGAGTTCACCGAAGGGCGAGATGCATAATTGCCATTATTATACTGCAATGTCTCGGTGCTAATTGGTCGCAATGTACAGCCCCGTGTTGACCCCCAGACTGGGGAATTGCTTCTCTTCCACTCGACATTCATCCCGCCGTTTGTGAACTACTCCATCATACCTGCTAGGACCACCGTGACACCGGAGTTTCGTCTCAATCGAACCGTGCCTGGTCTTGTCTCAGGGAAGATGATGCATGACTTTGGAGTATCCCACCGACATACCATTATTATCGACCTGCCTCTCGAGCTCGATCTGTCTAATATAGTACATGGAAAGCCGGTTGTTGAATACAACCCACGGGGCCAAACGAGGCTTGGGGTATTTCCTCGACATGTACCTGAGCTCATTCGATGGTTTACGACAGACCCCTGTGTGGTAATGCATACAGTCAACACTTGGGATGATATCACACCTGGTGGAACATGGGTGAATATGCTGCTTTGTCGCATGAACAGCGTTGCGCCGTTCTACCATATGGGTAATATAGCTGCCCCAGACGCTTTGAAGCAGCCCGATCCTCAATGCCGCCTTTATTACTACGAGTTTCCACCTAGCCATGAAGGCACAACGTCGATATCCCAGCAGTGGGCACTATCAGCCATTCCTTTCGAGTTTCCATGTGTGCCCAAGCACCTGGAGATGGACCCAACAAGATATGTCTACGGATGCTCTATGAGGAAGGGTAATTTCGCCGCCACTCATATCAGCGCCTTCAAGATTGACTGTCTTGTCAAAGTGGACGTGGAACATCTTCTCTCACAGGGTAAGACCGAGCGTCTGTCTCCAGTGGATGGCTGCGTGGATGAGCGCTCCATTGATGAGGTCCTCGCTTCGGACAACCCCGACGATCCTATCAAGGTGTTTGCCTTTCCCAAGGGGTGGTATGCCCAGGAGTGTTCGTTTGTACCGCGGAAAGATGGAAAGCATGAAGATGATGGTTGGCTCGTTACATATGTATTTGATGAGTCGCAACTGGATGAGAATGGCGAAGCCCCACCGAACGCGCGCAGTGAGCTTTGGGTCATCGATGCTGTTGGTATGAGAGAGGTGGTCTGCCGAGTAGTCTTGCCACAACGCGTACCATATGGGATGCACGGGAATTGGTTCCCGGAGGAGCAGATCGTAAATCAGCGAGACGTGGAAACATTTCGCCACGAGTACTAGTTAGTCAAAGGATGTTTGGGCAGTCAGTCAAGACGCCCTACTCATCTCAGTAGTTGGTATATATATAGTAACTTCGCATCTGGTACTTCTCAATCTTCCAAGGAGTCGATAGGCTAAACTACATTGTTCTTTCTCAACGTAATTATCACACTCGCGGTGGAGCAAGCGATATTTCCTCGTCACTCTTACTTACCAATAGTGCTAACATTAGCTTTCTTTCTAAGAAGTGGAATCGATATCGTCCGATTCAACATATGAAAACGAAGGCTATGTTGCTGTTAAAGTGATCGACGAACCAACTACGAAATTAGTCGATGGCCATGTCCAAACTAGTCGCTTAATTCCATATCATGTGTTCAAGGCAGATAAAAGAATAGATTAAGTCTGAGTAACCCCAGAGTAAATATCGTCTGCTTGTCCCGGCTCGGTGATTGGCTTCATGCCGTTGCGGGGGTGGTACTGTCGTTAGCGCCGTGCTCGTCAGCTGCCTTCTCTTCGGTGTGATTCTCCCCGACGCTGAGATTGGAGCTTTCTTATACTTCTCCTGCCATCTTGCTATCTGTCAGTAATCACTTCTCAGAATACAGGGGGCGATGCTGGCATATCAGATATCATTCGTGCTGTGCTTAGTGGACAATGCTTCCATGGCGCTTCACTGTCAGTGACCGATAGATTGTTAATTCAGTGAAATTTAGCTGGCTATGTGATGACTTCCAGCTGAAGCCCAGGCAATGAAATACAACAGCTATGGTACGTATCCATATTTGCACAGTAATTCCTCTCTGCTTACAACTCTCTCCAAAAGCACAGGACCAATTTCCCCCTACCACTAGACTGCGGCAATGAGTCCTGTGGCTAATCCACCCTACCCTCAAATATTCGAAGATAAGACAACAGTTACTCGAGAACATATAAGACCTGGTCCACTGGTACTATCAGATAATGTGGATAAACAGGGTACTGCAGTGAGCGCCTGGACGTATTGTGCGGAAGCCCACATGCTCTTTAACTAGTCCCTATCAATCATTGATGCTATGGGCTCTCTAGGATGTCGTTACCCGCAACAACTGACTCAATTCTACCCATACCGGCAATCCCTGCACAATGCGGGCACTAGGTTAGGTCATCTGAGGATATAGATGGTTCCGCTCGATACACCTCGACTAGTTTACTCGAGATACTAAGCTCATGCTACAGGCGACTCAACAGATTATTCCTTGATCTAAAAGCCCTGCATGCATGGAGAACCATGAGCAATGAATCCCAAACACTTCATGGATTACTTTGCTCATGATCATGATACCTCTGAGAATATAAGCCCTGCAGGAGACAAAGACGACGTCTCGTGAAACCGAACAGGAATACACGCGATGGTCCTATCGTACATGAAGCCCATACTCTTGCCAGAGTTATTTTTCAGAAGGTAATGTAACAAGCGGCTAGGATACACTTGAGTCCGCGTAGATGCTCTCTGTTCAATCTGAAGACAAGAAAGTCCCATACCGAGCAACATGTTGACGATCCACCCACCACCATTAGTATTTTGACAATACCCCATTATCTTGTCAATCACATATAACCCTTACAAAGACCAGAAACATGAAGCTGGAGAATCCTAGTCCCCATGATGGAATCATGTTCATTGCATTCGGCCGAGATGACTGACTGTTCTTCGGGTCGGGCGGGAAGCATCCAGTCGCCGACTGACTCACAGGAGTCGCCGATTACCATGCAAATTGACATCCAGACATTAAAGGATGAATTCAATATAATAAGAGAAATTTTTTTTTTCTGTAATCCTTGAATCTACAAATAGCAATTTCAACACTGCCAGTACAAATCACAGCAGCTGTGTAGTCCAACCCAGCCGCAGCCTGAGGAGCTCAAGGCAATATCCAAGACTCGGGCCAACAACATAATGACCGGACAAAATACTAATAACCCGTGCGAAGTCACCAAGCATGATACGGGTTGGCGAAGAGTAGTTCGTCATTTCACGCCGTCGTATGCAACCCTTGATCTCATTCCAAGTGCAATTGAATCTAACATGCATGTCTGGACAGTTGGTTTTCGGTTACCATGGGCACGGGCATCGTGTCTATTCTACTCAACACCCTCCCTTACAATGGCCAGTGGCTATACTGGATTTCAGTCGTCTCATTTGCCTTCAATGTCCTTCTTTTCACCATAGGGTGTATCATCACCTTCCTTCGCTATACCCTATATCCGGAGATCTTCTTCGCCATGATCAAGCATCCAGTCCAGTCCATGTTCATAGGAACGTTCCCTATGGGATTCGCGACTATCATCAATATGTTCTGCTTTGTCTGTGTTCCAGCCTGGGGTGACTGGACGCGGAACTTTGCCTGGGGTTTATGGATCTTTGATGCGATCTTTTCGGTCATCACTGCTCTCTCCCTACCCTTCTTACTGTGCGTCTGGCCCTGCGCAGACTATGAAGCAATCATGAGCTTGACTAACATGACTGCAGAATGGCCCATGGAACCGAAATGCAACTCTCGTCCATGACAGCCGTATGGCTCCTCCCTATCGTCAGCTGCATTGTCGCAGCTTCATCAGGGGCCATCGTAGCGGATGTGCTCCCCAATCCACAGCACGCTCTCTGGACCGTGCTCGTGAGCTACGTCCTCTGGGGCATCGGATTACCCCTGGCGCTGATGGTGATGGTGATTTACCTACAGCGACTGACCCTGCACAAATTACCTCCTAAAGCGGTGATCGTGAGCGTGTTCCTCCCCCTGGGACCCCTTGGTCAGGGCGGCTTCGGGTGAGTCTATACATCCCATCCCTATATGACCATCGCATACTGAGTAGTATATTACTAGAATAATGAAACTGGGCCAAGCGGCGCAGGAAATCTTTCCGAAGACACGGACCCTCGAAGCAGCATCCGGTCCGATCTTCTATACCCTGGGGTTCATGGTCGCTCTGATTCTCTGGTCCTTTGGCCTGGTCTGGCTATTCTTTGCCTTGGCATCTATTGCGAGGAGTAAGAGCTTCCCGTTCAATATTGGATGGTGGGGTTTCACTTTCCCCTTGGGAGTGTACGCCACGAGCACGTGCCAGATGGGCAAGGAGCTGCCGTCGGAGTTCTTCCGGGTGTTAGGAACGGTAAGTTTGACGTTCTTAGTTTTCCTCACCTTTCGCGATGTTGATATATGACAGATTCTCTCACTTTGCGTGGTGGTCTTATGGATTGTGGTGAGTATTGGGACATTGCGGGGAGTGGTGTCAGGCCGGTTGTTCTTTGCGCCGTGTTTGGGGGATTTAAAGGCACGGGAAGACGAGAATAGAGATGGCACAAAGGCAGCTTGAGTTGAAGAAAGGGTTTAGTTACTTGAGGGCTCGAAGGAGAAAAGTTCCAGAATGGATGTAATTTTAATTGTTTCAGACTTGCACATCTTCTGAACACGGGGAAACTATAATGGTGCCATAATAGGTAGATCCAGGAAGGGAAACAAAAATTGGGATCATGGATGTATGGGCTGAATCGGACGTATAGTAGATGTTGTGAGATACCACTGCTCTTTGGATTAAGCTAGTAAATCAGAGCACCCTGGGGAGGAGCTGTCTGGAGACACTCGAGAGGGTGTGAAACGTCACAGAGGAAGCATCAAAAATGCAACAGCAACCCAGATCTATCCGGAATCTTCGACTAAAAGTAAGCTTAAACATTAAGGGCAAATTATCATAGGTGGAATGCGGATTTTAGCTGTCGATGATGGGGGTTTTAAATTTTCGTTTTTTTATTTTCGTGTTATTATTTTCCCTTTTGATTTTTCATTTTGTGGTGGGAAGGGGGTGGTGGAGGGGCGAGGAATTTTGGGTTATCTTAATTTTTTATTTTTACTTACTTTATTCGGCCCTGAATAGCATGGTTTTTTATTATTATGGGTAAACTTTTTTTAATTCTTTAATTATGATTTTTTTAATTTTCTTTTTAGTCTTCCACCCACACCCCCTCATTAAGTTACTTTGGTTTAGTTACGTAGGACTTGACTACCCTTTAGTGCAGAAATGTCAGGTACCCTGTGCTCTGTTTGTCCACCCGAATTCGATCTTTCTTTTTGAAAATAGGATACTCAAGAGTCTTTCTCCATTCCCTCTATCTATCGAGTCAGTTAGTTGCTGACTGGAAAGCTGTTTCTCTGCTGCATCACTAAGCAGTCGCCATGAGTGCCCGATGGGTGCCTTCCACACAAAAAATAATGAACCCCGCCCGACCAGCCTGCTTGCGCACTGTGAGTGGCCAGCTGGCCGAGAAGTCACGTGTGCGCTCCCGGGGGGCAGAAAATAAAATCCAAAATTCGAAAATCCAAAAAGCCCAAAGCAAAAAATTAAAAAAATCGAAAATAAAAAATAAAAAATAATAATAACGAAAAAAGGAACGGAGTCCATCAAGATCCCAAACAAATCATCACGCGCGACCATCTCACGACTTCAGGATCCATCCAGGCATCGCTTCCTGAGTGGTTTGAGGTCTCTTTTCCCAGCATTCACGGTCTTCTTTGCTCCTGTTTTCCTGGTCAACCTTGCATTGCCTGTCGGGCGCCCCCTCTAGCTGTCCCCCTGGGAATTTCGCCTCTCCCAACAATTGCGCTTTTGGTCGCTGTGGGTCCGCCGTATTACTCCCTCAGTCAGCAAAATTCAGTAAGTGTGGTGTGTGTTGATACCTCAGGCCGCACAAACTAGGCACCGAATCCCGCATTTTTGTCCCGTCTTGTCAGTCACGCTTTTTTTCTGATTCCGCTTTGGGGTGGGAATCCGACTCATTTTATTATTATTATTATTTCGTGTTATCCACCGCCGCAAAATCACAGCAGCAAAGCACAGCAGCAGCAGCAATAGCAAAGCAGCCGGTCGCACGGCTCTTCTTCAGTTTCAGAAATACGCGCCTCAGTGCGCGTCTTTTTCTGACTGCTGCTGCTCTTTGCACTGGAATTGGTGTTCCCTGCCTCGCTCTTTCTCTCTTTCTCACCCCCCAAGAGGAAGCGTGTCGTTCGTTTGGTGCAGACGCGGTGGCGGTCACATGCCCGCTATCTGAGTGTCCCTGACAATCAATCCATCTTCATCAGGGAAAACAAGGCAAAAAAATAATAAAAATAATAAAGGCCATTGAAAATACCCACCACGTCAGCCATTGAGTGATTTTCTTTTCACTTTCATCCTCGTCCCGTCAAGATGATGGGCTATAATGGGCATTCGTTTCATCAACAACGCCCGCCCCAGCAAAATGCTCATCCGCAGCACCAACAGCAGCACCATCTGCAGTCCCCGTCCATGACTGCCGCGGCTGCTGCTCATCCCCATCATGCTCCCGGTATGGCCAGTAATGGCGCCCTATTCCGGGGTCAATCGCAGGTGGAATTGGCGGCTCAGTCCCCAGATCTCCGCAAAATGACCCCATCCTCCACAGGCCCTGTAGTCGGCCTCCCCACGGGCGGCCATTATAGTCCGTTCTCCGGACATTACCCGCCACAGGGCTCGTCCGATCTGCTGTCTCGCAATGCCGACTCCGTTGGCCAGCTGAAAGATCCCTATCTATCCTTGCAAAGCCTGCAACGGAATATGAACCCCATGGCCAATTTCCGTACTCATCCCACGATGAATGCGCAGGCTGCCATGTCCCCGCATGCGCATGCGATGGGTCTTGCTTCTCCCCAGCAGTCTTTTGACCGACTGCAACAGCAACATCTTCAGCATCGACAGACGCCGCACACGCATCCCACGACGCAAACCTCTGCTGCGGCATCGCCGATGCTGACCACCGCCCAGCCTCAGCATGCCTTCCCTCAGTCCGCGTATCAACAGACACAACAAGCGTCGCCGTACCAGCATGCGCAGCAGCAATCCCCTTACCAGCAAGCTCAAGCATCGCCGTATCAAGCGCAGCAGGCCCAGTATCCGCAGGCCCAATATCCGCAGGCCCAGCATCAGGCTTCTCCCTATCAGGCTCAGGCTCAGCAGTCTCCTTACCAGCAACATGCCCATCAGACGTATCAGCAGCAGCAGGCCCAGCAAGCTCAGCAGCAGGCACAGCAACAAGCTCAGCAGAAAGCTCAGCAGGCTCAACAACAAGCCCAGCAACAGGCCCAGCAGAAAGCTCAGCAAGCCCAGCAGCAGGCTCAGCAACAGGCGCAACAACAGGCTCAGCAGCAAGCTCAACAGCAAGCACAGCAAAAGGCCCAGCAGCAGGCTCAGCAACAGGCGCAGCAACAGGCTCAACAGCAGGCTCAGCAACAGGCGCAACAGCAGGCTCAGCAGCAAGCAGCACAGCAGACCCAACAACCCGCTCATACTCAGGCCCAGCAGCAGCAAGCCCAGCAAACATACCAGCAACAACAGTCAAGGTTCCAGCAGCAGCAGGCTCAACGGTCGCCATACCAGCCTCAACCACAGCAGCTTCAGTTCCATCATGCATATCAGCGCCAATATCAACAGCCACAAGCGCAAACACAGGTACAAGCTCAACAGCCGCAGCCGCAGTCGCAGCAACAACAGCACCCCATTCTGCAGCAACATCCCCAGCAACAGCACCATCATGCCTTGCACCAGTCCCAAGCACAGCAGCATCCTTCTCTGTTGCAACAACATCAAGTACAGCAGCAGCAACCATCGCCTGCACAGGCAAAGGCACAACTTCAGCAGCAGTATCAACCACATGCTTCTGCGTCCGCTAGCATGTCTGGACCTGAGCTCCTTGCTCCAGCACAGGAGAAGCCTGAGAGTACTGGAACCAAGCAACGCAAGAAGCAGTCTAAGCCTTCTGCGTCCCCGGCTACGCCCGCTACACAGGCTACACAGGTCAATGGGCAAGCTCAAGCTGGATATCCGGCTCCTACTCCGGTCTCTGCTGCGGGCCCTACTCCCGCTCCCGCTCCAGTATCTGGTGTTGGTTCAGGCCCCACTTTCACTCCTGCTGGTACATCTAGTGCAGTCCAGGGACCTGCCACCGCAGGGGCTGCTCCTACAGCTGGCGCTGCTCCAACAAATACTGCCACGCCAACGCCGAAAAAGAGAGGCCGTCCAAGGAAGCCCGTTGTGCCAGGCGAAGAAAAGAAACCCAGGCCGAAAAAGCCAAAGAAGGCCCAGACGGTGACAACAACAGCACCCGATGGCACAACGATGGTGGTTCCAGCCCCCACAACTAATGCTGATGGTACACCTGCAGTTGCAGCTCCCGCTCCTGCGCCCGCACCACCACCGCAACCGATTTTCGGTCCGGACGGGAATCCTATTCCCCAAAAGCGTCGTCGCGGGCGGCCTCGCAAGTCAGAACAAGGCAACGTGCCTCCCAAGCCTAGACCGCCAAAGAAGCCTTCGTCCAAGCCGGGCACTGGTCGGCCCCGTGGACGGCCACGCAAGGCTGATGTTGAAGCACGAAAGGCTGCTGAAGCGGCGGCGGCCGCCGCTGCTGCAGGTGGACAGCCTCAGGCTGATCAAAATCAAGCTGGAGCCCAGAGCCAGGCGCTACAGCAGCCACAGCACTCACAGGTTCAACCCCAGTCTTCGGTACAATCACAGGCGCAAAATCAGCCCCAATCCAAGCCGCAACCGGCACAGCCTTCACAACCATACCAGTCATTCCATCAATTCCAAGTCACTCCGCAGCAGCCTCAACAGATGCACGGTCAAATGGCAGGCCAGTCTAAGACGCAGTCTCACACAAATCAGATGCATACGTCCAGCCAGGCCCAATTTCAGGCACTCCAACATCAGTTCCAAGCGCAACCTCAACCTCACACCAATACCCAGGCCAACCAGCAACAGCAGGCGCAACCGCAGTCGCAGTCCCGCTCCGGGCAAGCTGCGCAGCAGGCACAGGCACAAGCACAGCAGCCTAGACAAATGCAGGCTCAGAATCAAGCTCACACACCGGTTCAGCCTCAACCACGTCAAATACAAGCTCAGGCTCAGCCACAGCCTCAGGCCCGGTCAGTGCAGGCTCAACCCCAGCCCCAGGCTCAAGCGCAACCCCGTCAAATGCATCCTCAACCACAGACACAAGCGCAACAGCAGCCACAGCCACAGCCCCGTCAAATGGCAATCCCGGCCCAACCACATGCAGCAATGCATCACCAACTGCAGCCTCATCAGCTGCACGCCCAAGCGCAGGGTCATCCTCACCCTCATCATCCTCAGGCTCACCCCCATCCTCACGCCCAATTTCAGCTACATCCCCATCTCCATCCCCACGCACAACCGCAACATCCTGAGCCAATGACTCTGAATCCGCCGCAGAAGCGCGGTGCGCCTGTGGACGACGACCCGCGCAAGCGGGCCTTCATGATGCCCCAGCAGATGTGATTCTTAGCTGAATCATACTTGCCTGCCTAGCTGCTTTGTTTTACCCTCTAGATATCACGAAAACGCACTGATGCCGTTCATCCAATTTTGTTACTTCCATGGCTTACTGTTTAATTCCTGGCTTTACCACCATCATCAATCAACATTATCATCTTTGTGGATGTTCTTCTGGCGAGCCTCTCTCCTCTTATCTGCCGATCAGTTTATTGTCTTGTTTGTCAAATAGCTTGTGCGCGTGTTGTCGGTTCCATTTCCATCATGATGATCGAGTAACCCAATAACCCCAATTCAGTTAGTCATGTTATGTTAAGCCCTTGCATCAGTTTTATTTGTCTTTTGCAAATCGTTTGTGTTTTGTTACCTCGTTTATACTTTTCGATTAAGCCCCTTGCAAGTAAGTTAAGTACAGGTACATGAAATGAACTAAGTACGTACATTAAAATTGACTCCAATAGCCACTGTAGATAAAGTAGTAGATACTGTGCCCGGTTTGTTGCCTCAGTAGTTCAATAGAATTGCCTGTCGAGACATTCCCTGTGTCAGCCATCACCTGATCCTCCGCCACCGCCTATTTGGTCTCTGACTACGATCACAACTTACACTACCAACCACCCATCTCTTGTTTGCAACTTTCAGGGACACCATGATCGGAGATCATCTAGACAGCTAGTCTGAATCAAGTAGTCACTAAAGCACAGCTGCGGGTCTCGTCACCTGACAGTGGGGGCTGGATTGTAAGTGACTTGTCATCACCTAGCGCTCATTGTCTGTTTTTTGTATCATCGTCTGCATCTACAATGACATCGCTTGAAGTCGAGGGTCCAAACTCTGGCTCCCAAACTGAGACCAGCGGTAGCATTCAATGTACCTTTGGTAAGACTGTCATTCTCTAAGCCTGAAAATCATGTTCACTGTTTAACTCACCATAATAAGCTAAGCATAGCTGACAATGCATTTCATTAGATCAGCGTTCAAGCTCTCGAGACGAGAGAGTAACAAGGTTTCTAGGTCTGCTCAACACTTGTCCCTACGAGGACCGGAAAAACAGAAATGATAGACGAGTTCCGGGAACCTGCGAATGGTTCACAACGCATCCGAAATTCACCCATTGGCAACAGTGTCCAAGTCATGAACTCGCCGGTCTACTATGGGTCTCAGCTGATCCAGGTTGTGGCAAGTCAGTCTTAACAAAGTACCTGGTAGATGAGGTCCTTGTTGGCAATGAGCAGCAGACCGTGTGCTATTTCTTCTTTAAAGATGACTTCCCGGATCAAAGAAATGCAGTCAGTGCACTGTCAGCTATCTTACACCAAATCTTTCTTGCACAGCCGCAGCTTCTATCAGATGAAGACGTAAATAGAGTGCATAATCATGGAGCAAAGCTTCTCCAGTCATTTCACATCTTATGGGATTTACTCATGTCTGTGTCTGCTCAGGCAACGGTGGGAGAAATTATTTGCATTCTGGATGCATTGGATGAGTGCCGAGATCGGGATGAATTTATCGAAGCTGTCAACAAGTTTTACCAAGGACTCTACAAAGACCGGAAGTTGAAATTCTTGATGACAAGCAGACCATATCCTCACATAGAGCATCGATTTCGGGAGCTGGAAACCGAACTACCGATAATTCACCTAAGTGGGAATGGCGAGGAAGAGGTCCAGCAAGTTTCCCGTGCAATAGACCTTGTTATTAGCAAAAGAGTGAGCGACATTGGTGAACAGAGATCACTGGAAAAAGATGAATGCGATATTCTGGAACAGCAGCTGACTGCGGTTGAGAATCGAACATATTTATGGGTCAGTCTCGCCTTGGACGTACTCGAAAATATGCCGGATTTCACAAAGGGAAAGATCCGACAGGTGGTACAGCTTCTTCCTACAACTGTTGACAGTGCCTACGAGAGAATCCTGGATTGGAGCTCTAATAAGGAGAAAGCCAAAGTTCTTCTTCATATGATTACTGCTGCTGTACGCCCTTTCTCCTTGGAAGAGCTATCTATTGCCTGGGCAATACACAGCAATCCGGATGACACGACTCTCAGTTCTATAAGTGATGACATGAAACCAAAGGAGAGATTCAGAAAGACCTTGAGGGATCTGTGTGGACGTATTGTAGTTGTTCTAGATGAGAAGATTTGTCTTCTGCATCAAACTGCGAAGGAATATTTGGTCCAGAGCACCAAATCCACAGTGAATGATTGCACCTCTCGTGTCACAGGAAGGAAAGGTGCACTCATACCAGAAGAATCGAATAGAATCCTTGCGCACATATGCATCTCATGGCTACCAAGAATAACTGCTGCTCAACGGAATATCGAGCGAGGGGACTTCGATGAGTATTCCTCATGCCATTGGGTTACCCACTACCACCAAGCAAATGTACAAGATGGAAGCATACTGATCATGCGCGCGCAGTCAGTCTGTAACCCAAGCTCTGATGTGTATCCAGTATGGTCCAAGCTCTATAAATCTGAGGGAAACTATCTTCCTGGGGGTGATTCAAGCCTGCTCATCGCATCATTCTTAGGCCTAACTGGTGTGGTGAAGCTTCTGCTTGCATCAGACTCTAAAGATTCTGATCGCCAGCACCCACTGTCCCGGGCAAAGTCAACGATGAAGCATCTGCTTAGAACAAAAAGGATGAAAATAAACTCCAGGGATCCAGTGGAAGGCCTGACCCCGCTGTCCTGGGCAGCCAAGAATGGCCATAAGGAAGTAGTGAAGCTTCTGCTTGGAACAGGAAAGGTGAATGTTGACTGTAAGGATTCATATAACGCGACTCCTCTGTCATGGGCAGCTATGCATGGCCATGAGAAAGTTGTAAAACTTCTGCTTGACACAGGAAAGGTGGACGTTAACTATAAGGGTTCGGATGATCAGACTCCTCGGGAATGGGCGGCCATATATGGCCATGAGGAGGTTATAAAGCTTCTCGAAAATTACTAATACCTACCTTCTACGAAATAGATTTATGTTATATGAAGACTCTCAGTATTATACTGTTACTTGTGTTAAAGGCCAGTTATAGAGGGCAATTATGTCTCACTTGTACCTTCAAGACCTGGTTCATCATGTCCTTCTACTCGCTACCTTGGAATGCAATAAGGGGAATCGCCGTTGACTTCTCAGAAGTTTACGAACTGATAGATCTATGACAATACCTATAGACATTCAGGCAGATCTTGAACTGATTCCTTCTATTCTGAACATGCTCAGCACCATATCCAGCTCCGATCAAGGTTTCCCACAATGCATATATCATCTCCAAGATGGAATTCTCCGCACCATACTTAACCTATGATACAAAGTCTACTATTATCTATATGAATACTATATCAATAATTATAACTGACCTAAACATCACATCTTACAGTATATGCAATATCCACCAAACACGGTACATGTAAAAAATAAACCCCCTCTCCAATATAATCTCTAAGTAGCAGCTCCACCACCCTCAAACACAAACCCAAAAGAATACCCCCTATCAAACACCCATAAAGACCGTGACCTCAACTACCCCATCTCATCCCACCCCCGTCCCCGCCCCCAACTCCCATACTTGTTAATACTTATCCGAAACATACCATCTCCGATCTCCATCTCCATACCTCATTCATTAATGTCATATATGCCTCCAGTTATACTCGATTACCTAACCACCCTACTACACAATCACATGCCAGAATACCATGCCATACCATCCCAAATATAATAGAGTTCATCCCAGAAAAACTCTCATTCCACTGATTCATGTATCATACAATATGTACCTTGGACTACTACACCACATGTAGTCTAGTTTATAAATTCACATGTTTAGTCAAGGAATCTTGAATCGTTCTCATTTCTTGGTATTATTCTTGACTATGGTCTGTCTGTCTGTCTTAACTTGGCTTGCTTTTGGATGAGAGATTTTTACCATGTCAGAAACCTAGTGAGACACGTAGTCAAGAAACACACATTTTATAATCATTATAATAAACATTATCAATTTTGATCTACTTAATATAGATAGCTAGACATTAGTAATACATGTAATTTTTGCCAATTTAAACAGAACGAATCAACACATTATGAATCATATCATGTCACATCATCACAAGCATAAGAACTCTTAACTTAAAATGGAAATGGGCACGACGAACGACGACGACGACAAATAGGTGGTATCGTATCATCCTAGAAGCTCAGAATCAAGGTAAAGACCGCCGGGATGTGGGTATAAGCCCGAAGACGCCGTGCACAGGTCAAAGCTCAAGATTCAAAAAGTGCCAAAAGAAGAAGGGAAAGGGAAGGAAAAAGAAAAAGAAAAGAAAAAAAAAAA